TTAGGGGCATACAGGAGGCAGCCAATCGATGTTTTACTCTCTCATCGATGTTTCTCTCTAAATTCAATAAAAACGCATTAAAAACAAACAAATACAATCACACTCTGGCAATCATTGGCTTAATTTTCACTTGCTTGAAGGCACAGAAAAAGCACTCAATAAATGTGTGCTGAGATAATGGTGACAAGGGTCACTGTCGTGTCTTCCTCATCCTCATTCTGAGGAAAGAAAAGGTGTCCCTGGAGGACACACAGAGAAGGCCTGTGAGTGGCCACCCTGCCCATGCTCCTCTGTCAGTGCAGTGTTGCTCCATGACCTCGGAGGTCTGTCCAAGCTCCTGCATTCTGATTCCACCTGACGTCCAGTACATTCTCCACACCAGGGAGCATGGGAAGTATAAGACACAGGCTTGGCCGGCTGTGTGTACAGCACGTCTTACTCCTAGCATCATTTTCTTTCTTGTTTTATAATTGAGGTGAAAGTCACATAAAATTGACCATTTTAAAGTGAACAATTCAGTGGCAGTTAGTACATTCACAGTGTTATGCAACCAGTACTTTTATGTAGTTCCAAAGCTTTTTATCGCCCTAAAATGAAACCTGGCACCCATCACGTAGCCATTTCTCAGTCTCCCCTCCCCTCGGCTCTTGGAAACCACCAATCTACATTCTATCTCTCAGCATTTACCTATTCTGGATATTTCATATAAATGGTATGACACACGGACCAAAAAAGGCAGGTAGAGCCTTAGTGTCCACAGATTAGAATGACATTCAGCTTTTCTTTCCCCAGAGGGAGGTCAAGGATTCCCACTGCAGCTTGAGTGGCTGAGGTCAAATGTCTCTGCAATCTAGCTCCTTGGATATTTTTATTTGTTTTTCTGTGTTTAAAAATAATTAAAAAATTTTTTTCAATTACAGTTGACATACAATATTATATTAGTTTCAGTTATACAACATAGTGATTAGATATTTATATAACTTACAAAGTGAACCCCTGATAAGTCTAGTACTCACTTGGCACCATACATAGTTATTACAATATTATTGACTATATTCCCTATGCTGCATTTTACATCCCCATGACTATTCAGTAACAACCAATTTGTACTTCTTAATCCCCTCCCCTTTTCTCACCCACCCTCCCCACATCTAGCAACCATTAAAATGTTCTCTGTACCTATCAGTTTGTCTCTGTTTTGTTAGTTTGTTTTGTTTTTTAGATTCCACATTTAAGTGAAATCATATGGTGTTTTTCTTTCTCTGACTTTTTTCACTCAGCACAATACCCTTTAGGTCCATCCCTGTTGTTGCAGATGGCAAGATTTCTTTTTTATGGCTGAGTCATATTCCATTGTATATATGCACCACTTCTTTATCCATTCATCTATTGATGGATGCTTAGGTTGCTTCTATATCTATTCTATTGTAAATAATGCTTCAGTGAATATATGTATTCAAATTAGTGTTTTGGGTTTCTTCATAAAAACCCAGAAGTGGAATTGCTGGGAGCTTCTTTGTCTCTTGTTATAGCCTTTGTTTTGAAGTCTATTTTGTCTATTATACATATTGCTACCCTAGCTTTATTTTGTTTGTTTGCATTTTCATGAAATATCTTTTTCCATCTTTTTATATTTAGTCTGTTGTGTCTTCTGATCTGAAGTGAGTCTCAGCAGCATATGTAAGGGACTTGTTTTCTTACCCATTTAGCTACCCTATGTCTTTTGATTTTATATCATCTATTTACATTTAGAGTAATTACTGATAGATATGTAGTTATTGCCTTTTTATAATTTATATTTTTAATCTATTTTTTCTTCTTCTTAAAGAAGTTCCTTGAACATGTCTTATAATATTGGTGTGGTGGTGATGAACTCTTTTTAGCTTTTTCTTGTCTGGGAAGGACATTTTAAAAATTAGTTCTGGGATGAGCCTGTCATTAGATTAAGTAGAGAACTTTTATGAAGTGGAGGATGAACTGAATGGAGGTGAACTGGTTGGTCTGGGCCCAAAGGGGCACTGTCTCGCAAGACTTTTGTGAGAAAACACAGCTAAGTTTGATATGTGATGTGGTGTGTGTCTGTGTGTTTACATGATGACAGACATCCTGGTGCACATACAGACTTCCTTTCGTGCTTGAATAAACTTTACAGATCACAGAGCACTTGGATATCCAATGGCAGCTCACAAAAGGAGCCGAGGCAAGCACTCTTAACCCCAGTTTATAAACAGGGCAACCAAGACGCCATTCGATAACTTGCCCAAGGACGCACAGGAATGCGCGGCGGAGCCCCCAAGCCTGCGTGCTCTCCTCTGTGCACAGCGCACCTCCCCTCTGATGTGTCCGGGATAGCTTAGACCACGTAGTCATTGCTGAGAGTGAAGGGGGAAACGTGTCAGCAGGTTGTAGGAGTTAGAAACAAAATACCATCACCTGAATGGCTTAAAAAACAAACACTTACTTCTCACAGTTCTGGAGACTGGGAAGTCCAAGATCAAGGTGCCAGTCAATTTGGTTCCTGAGGAGGACTCTCTTCCTGTCTAGCAGATGGCCACCTTCTCTTTGCGTCCTCATATGGAAGAGAGAGAGCAAACTCTCTGGTGTCTCTTCTTACAAGGGCACTAATTCCATCATGAGGGCCTCACCTTCGTGACCTCGTCTAACCCTAATTGTCTCCCCAAAGGCCCCATTTCCAAACGCCATCACATTGTGGGTTAGAGCTTCAACATGTGAATCAGGGGTGGGGCAGACACAAATATTCATTCTATTATATAGGTGGACACCATCGCTGGTGGCAGACCATATGTTACAGCTGGTGAGACAGTGAAATGTTCTTGTCAAAAAAGACAATTCAAGCCCTGGCCAGGTAGCTCAGTTGGTAAGAACATCATCTCAATGTGCCAAGGTTGTGGGTTCAATCCCCAGTCAGGCTACATAAAGGAGCCAACCAATGAATGTATAAATGGGTGGAACAACAAATTGGTTTTTCTCTCTCTAAAATCAATAAATAAAAACTTAAAAAAAAAAAATAAGGTAATTCAGCCTAACTCCCCCAGAAGGAGGGGCAGGGAAGGAAGACAAAACTCAAAGAGTATTAGGAAGAAAGCAGGGTTTCCAACTTTAGCAAATAAAAATATCAAATGCCTATGTGATTTTCAATTTCATATAATAAATAATTCTTTAATATAAGTATGTCCCATGTTTAGTTTCATATGTATACATATATTAGTGTATGTAAATTTTATCTGAAATTTAAATTAACTGGTATCCTGTATTTTTCTCTATCAACCCTAAAAGAGAGGGGCCAAGAACTCTAAAACAAGCCAATGAACTTCAGGAGGGCCTACTGCAGGATCTCTGGACTAATGCTTCCTTTATGTAATTTTTTAAATCCTGTTTTTGTTTTTTTTTAATTTTTTTCCTTTTATTGATTTTAGAGAGAGAGGAAGGGAGAGGGAGAAAGAGATAGAAACATCGATGAGAGAGAATATTCATTGGCTGCCTCCTGCATGCCCCCCAATGGGGATCAGACCCACAACCTGGGCATATGCCCTGACCAGGATTCAAACCAGCGACCTCTTGGTGCATGGGATGACGCTCGACCACTGAGCCACACCAGCTGGGCTTAAAATCCCATTTTTAAAAACTATCTAGCTTGGTATTTTTGTGTGGTAACATATACATCACATACAATTTACCACTTTAACCATTTTTTAAGTGTACAGCTCCGAGGCATTAAGTACATTCACGTTGTTGTGCCATCATCACCACCAATCTCCAGAACTTGTTCCTCAACCCAAACGACATGTTAAAGAAAACCAGAACTAACAAAAAAAAAAAAAAAAAGCCAAAGTTGTACAGCAGTTAAAGCAGTGAAAACAGATTTTTATCAGGACTTTGCAACACGGGAAAAGAGATCTCGGTATGGAACCGAGGTCAAAATTGAATATAGCATGGACGGGTGGGGGCTTGTAGCAAGAAACAGGGTAGTGGTCCTGGATGCAAAATTACTAAAAGTGTACGGTAATCCCTTGCTACATTGACCTGACAGGGTTCCTGCCGAAAGTAGGCCAGGGCACCAGATACCACCTGGGGGATCTTGTTGGGATGAGGAATTTGGCCAGATATGGAGGGTGATCTGATATAGAGGGTGGGGGATTCTGGATAAAATTCGGAGATGCAAGTAGAGGCCTCTCTCTGGATGAGGATTCAGAGGCGCCTGACCAAAGTTTGGTCCATGAGACTGTCAGAAACTGTACCTACTAAACAGTAACTCCTCCCATCCCAATTGCTTCCCCGCCCTGGCACCACGGCAAACTTTCTGCTCCATGAAGCTGACTACTCTAGCGACCTTACATAAGTGGAGTCATCCAGTATCTCCCCTTTGGTGTCTGACATATATTTAATTTTTAAAGGAGGATGGAAACTAAGTGAATTCTATGGGGGAAGCGCCCCCAGAAATCAAGACAAGAAAGTAAGACGCCTGGAATCAGTCCAGACTGCAGGGCTGGGGGGGAGGGGCTGTCACCGCGCGGGTGCGGGCGTGGGGCCCGGGGCGCGCCCAGGGCGGAAGAAGGCCGTCTCTGAGCGCGGGCCAGCAGACGCCCCGGCAGGTCCGCGGGGACGGCGCTGAGGGCACAGAGGCGGGTGCCCAGCGCTCCGCGGGCGGCTCCGAGGGCGGATTCCGCGCAGGGGTCTGCAGCTCGGCCGCGATCCGGGGCCCGAACTCGGGAGCCCGGCGAGCGCCCCCGAGGCGGAGCGCCGAGCGCGGGCGGCGCTAGGACCCGGCGGCGCAGGCGGGGCACACGCGCGGCGGGCGGGCGGGCGCAGCGCAGCCCCGCGCGCAGGTGAGGAGCCGGGCAGGCCCCACGAGCCGCCGGGACTGTGCTCACGGCCCGGCGGGCGAACGCGGCGGGCGCCCGGATGCAGGGGGCGGGGAGGCGGGAGGGAGGGACTCCGGGGAGGGCCGGGCACTGACCGCAGCTTCCGCGGGGCCGGGCGCGAGCGAACGTCCGCGGGAGGCGAATGGGACCCAGACCCCGCGCCCGCGTTGAGTTCCGAGTGTGCCGTTCGCCTTGCTGCCCGCCGGGAAGCGGCCGCGGCTCTGCCCACCAGTAAGACGGGTCTCCACCCCTGCTGGCCCCGGGCTCCTCTCCCCGAGCCCTCCCCAGCCCCCACCCTTCCCCGCCGGAGGCCGTGGCCGGAGCTGCAGGCCGCCGCCTCGACTTCCTCGCTCGGCCCCGCCCCTCACGTGCCCTTACGCCCGGGCCGGGCTCTGGGGAGCCGGCTGCACTGAGTCCCCGCGCGCTGGCTGCGCCCAGGCCTCACCGAGGCGGACCGACCCCCCACCTCCGGGTTCCCGTGGATCCCGCACTTCCTACAGCGTAGGCTTCCGGCCTGGGATGGAGACCCCGGGAGCTGGGCGTTCCGGGAGGGTTTGCAGGGAGGCTGTCCTGCACTCCCGACCTTATTGTGAGAGCCGGCTGCGGTGTGGGTTCGTTTTCTGCAAGCGTCCATACTTTTACCCGTGTCTTTCGTTAGAAATATGTGAGCCTCCTGCGTGATTCTCGAAGTAGGAAAAGCCCTGACCGGTGACCCCGCTGGTTGGAGCCTCGTCCTGTCCACCAAAAGGCGGCGGTGCCATTCCCGGTGGGCGCTTGGGAGGCGAGATCGAGGTTTCTCCTCCACGGGGATGTTTCTCTCTCCCTCTTTTTCTCTTTCTCTCCATTCCTCCCTTCCTCTCCCTCTGAAATCAATAAAAACATATACTCGGGTGAGCACTAAAAACAAAGTAAAAAAAACAGGTGAAATTAATTTAGTAATATATTTTATTTAACTCAGTATATTTAAAATAGGACCATTTCAGCATGTAATTACTAGCCATACAGTCGTCCCCTGCTGATCCCCAGTTTTGCATTTTTCTGTCTCTGTTATCCTGGGTCAACCACAGCTTGGAAATACTAAGTGGAGAATTCTAGAAATAATTTGTAAGTTTTAAGTTGCACCCTAGTTTGAGGAGCATGATGAAAACTCAAAGGTGTCCCACGCTGTAAATGCTACGCCCACCCATTAGTCATTTAATAGCTGACTAGGTTATCAGATCAACTGTCAAGTTACTGCAGTGCTTGAGTTCAAGTAACCCTTATTTTGCGTAATGATGGCCCCAAAGCCATTCACATTAACTTGTATTACAGTATCAAATATCTTACTCTGTCTAATTTACAAAGCAAACTTTATCATAGGTATATGTATAAAAAATATTACGTACATACAGGATTCGGTACACTGCAGTTTCAGGCACCCACTGGGGGCGGTGGGGCGGTCTTAGAACATAGCCCTATAAATAAGGACTGTAAAAAAATTGTTTTTTTTTTTTTAGTCCTCACTCGAGGATATTTTTCCATGTTCAGATAGAATGTGAAGGAGAGAGAGAAAAAAACATCTATATGACAGAGATGCATCGATTGGTTGCCTCCCACACGACCTCCACTGGGGTGGGGGATCGAACTGCAACCAAGGTACATGCCCTTGACTAGAATCAAACCCGAGACTCTGGTCTGGGCTGACACTAACCACTGAGCAAAACCAGCCAGGATAGGACTGTAAAAAATTGAGATATCTTACATTCTTTTTTCCTATTAAGTCTTTGAAATCCAGTGTGTGTTTTACACTTATGCTACAACTCAATTCAGACATTTCAAGTGCTCAATAGCCACTTGTAGCTAGTGGACAGCACAAGTCTAAGGATTTCGGTCCAAACTCCTTGCTCTAGTATTCAGTGTTTTTCATAATCTGGCCTCTCTTTATCTTTCTTTTTCCTGCCACTTGGCCAAGGATAGTTATACCCTCACTCCTCAAACCACTTGCCATTCATTACCTATAAACCTTTGTTCAAGCTGTTCCTTCTACCTGGAATGCTCTCCCTGGGCCCGTTAGGGAGGTACAACTTCTACTAAGAGGCTTTTCCTGACTCTCTTAACCCCAAAAGGGGTATATCACACCTTCCTCAGTATTCCCCTAGTGCTGTATCCATGGCTGGATTAGATTATTTATCATATGCAGATTAATTGTTGTCGAGACTGTCTCCATAGCTAGTACACTGTCCTATTCATCTGTGTTGGGATCATGGCGGGCACCTAATAGTTGACCATTAGATATTTGCAGACAAAATGAGTAAACCACCAACCAGTTGTATTCATTTTCTAAATTCTTGACTGGATCTGTTACTTCCTTGTTTGGGAGATTTGTGCCTGAATTACCCAGCTCCCCTCCCCATTGTGCATACACACACACACACACACACACACACACACAGATGTGGTAAATAACCACGAGGAATGAATTTCAAGATGTGCACAGAAAAGTGTCTTCTGCTTTTTATCCTCTCCCCATCTTACAGATGGGAAAACTGAAGTACAGAATTAAGTTAGGATGGCCAGCAAATTTGCATCAATTTAAATACAAAGAAGTGGGGATTCTCCTTGAAGGGAATGGGGGAGATCTCAGAGAGTTAGACAGTTAGGGATAACTGGTCCCACTTTGGTCATTTGATAGGAGGGAAATGAGATAAGGAGGTAACACTGGGCTTATCTTATGATAAGGATTCCAGGCAGGGTTCAGGTCTGAGAAGCTGAGGATGTCACTGCTGGAAAACAAGTTGGAGAGCAGAACAGTCATCTCACAGGCCAAGAAGTGCTGGCCTGGGAAGGGTAGGAGAGACCAGTGGGGTAGAAGGAAGGGCTGGGACAGCCGGCAGAGGGAGCAAAGGAGTAAGCATCCCTGCTTGTTGCAGATGTTGGTATGCTGCTTGTGAATACCCACTTAGAGAGCAGTGCCACTCTCAATCTGTAGAATGGGAAATAGAATCAGATATTCAGAGAAGACAAGCAACTACCCAAGATAACACAGCACGTTAAGCTCAAACAAAGCCTCCTAAGCCCTCCTTGCCATACTTACCCAGCCCCCCTCCTCTGTTGCAACCAGGGGCCTCAACATGGTGCCTAGGAAAACAGATCTGGGGCACAGTGCCAGGCCTGATTAGTTTCTTCCTCACCATCTTCTACCAAGGGGCTGTGATTAGGCCTATTTATAGGGGCCCAGTGCCTTAATATTCTGCCTGGTGCATCTCTTGCCAATCAAATCGGTGCCGTCTGCAGTGTGATTGCTGCGTTAGTGGCACCAGGGAGTGGAGTTAATTAAACCCAGTATAAATAGACTCTGCCCTGCCTTACAATTTGAAGGAGTGTTTTTCCTTCCTGTTTCCCACCCCTACATGCCCCTTTGCTCTAGCCTGGACACCTGTATCTGGAGTCACTGGCCATTGGCTGTCCTGTTTCAGGAACCGGCTCTGAGTTCCTCAGAAGCCAAAGTGAGAAGAGCCCAGGAGTCCACCTTCTCTGGTTTTCCAGACCTGGGCATCATTTGGCAGTTAATTGAGGCAGTTTTCACCCCCAAATCCCTCCTGCTTCCAGGATGTTTTCACTCTGCAGCAAGGGTTTCTTTCTTGTTCATCCAGGCTGAGGAGGTTGGAATGAGATAATGTATAATGAGGGTGTCTAGCAGGGTCCCAAGCATCTCATGGGGTCAGTGTTGCATCTTCCCTGAACCCTTCTCATCAGCCTCTGTTGTCCCTACCAAGTTCCCGCCTTCATCCACTCAATAAGCAGCAGAAGACCAACTCCTTTGGGCTCCTGGCCTCCCATCAAAGGCTATATCCCCAAATCCCCACCTGTACAGGCCAAACCTCTGGCAGACAGTTGGGGTAAGGGGCTGTGCTCTCCTCTCAGTACCTTGCCTGTGGTAGGTGGGGTGGGTGAGTGTGGGGCGGCCCTGATGCTCTGGTTCCCACCCACAGGCACCATGACGCCCATGAGGACCCAGCACTCGTTGGCAGGTCAGACCTACACAGTGCCCCTCATCCAGCCGGACCTGCGGCGAGAGGAGGCCATCCAGCAGGTAGCGGACGCCCTGCAGTACCTACAGAAGATCTCCGGAGACATCTTTAGCAGGTGGGTGCTGCCACCCATCCCCACCTAATCTGGGGCTCCTCCCTGCCCTGGGCAGTTATCTCTCCATTCCTAGGAAGGCACCCTCTAGGAGCAGTCCTTCCGGTGATTCTTGGTTGTAGGGGTACCTCGCTGGCTTCCCTGTACCCAAGGGGCCCGGCTTAGAAGCTTTTTCTCATACAAGCTCATAAGAGCTACCTACTGTCCCACTTAGCTCCCCGGGTTCCTGTGGCCCCACAGGCCCTGGTGGTGATACTGCTCTTCTTATTCATCCTCTTCCTCCCACTGGGGGCCCCGTTCCTTCACTTATTCCTGCTGTTAGCAGAGACGTATTCAGCACTTCTTATGTGCAAGGGACTGCTGCTCTCCTCGGTTACAGCGGTGAACAAGGCCGCAACCCTGTCCAACTAGAGGATATACTCTGGCAGGAGAGGTAGACAGTAATTAATCAACTGCGTATTCGTTTTTAACTTAAAATTGTGATAAGACCTATTTTTAAATAATTTTGCAATCAGTAATATTTATATAGCATTAACCATGTACCACCATTGATCTGAAGTGCATTAATTCATTTAACCCTCACAACAACTTTATGAGGAGCTACTGTTGTTATCTCCATTTTATAGATGAGGAGACTGAGGCACAGAATGGCTAAGAGATTTGCCCAAGTGGCAGAGCCAGGGGTCACACCCAGGTGTTGTGGATCCAAACTCTGGAGTTCTTACTGTTTCTGTGAAGGGAAGGGAGGGTGTGATGAGAGTTTAATGGGAGGCCTGGCTTGGTCTGGGGGAATCAGGAGGCATAGGTAGGGGAAAAGATTCATGAAAGATGAGTGGGAGTTGCTGTGAATAGGTAGGTTGGGAAGACTAATGTTCCAGAAAGAAAGCATACATGAGCTAAAGCCCTGAGGTGAGAAGGACTTGAATGGAAGCAGTGTGGCTGGGGCAAGGAGAGTGATGGGCGGGGTGCGGGGAACGTGCAGCTGGTGAGGCAGGGCCTTGGAGGCCATTGACAATTTTGAGTTGGTGAGTGGCAGCTTTTTCTCTCCAGCGCTAACCTAGCACAGTCCTTGAGCTATAATGATTTTTCCCTCAGTGTTTGTTTAACAGGAGTCACTGGTGTTTGCTGTTTTCTTGCAAAGGTCCCGGGTTTTGTCCTGTCTTTTTCTCTGGCCATAGCTGCCTGAGATGGGCTTAGATCTTCTCCCTTGTGCCCACATCATGCCTCACAGAGGAACCCTTCATGCCACCCAGTGTGAAGTATTTGACTGGCTTAGATTCATCTCATGGTCGCAGTCATCCCCTATCCCACCCCTGCTTGCACCCTGTCCGGGAACCCCCTTCTGCATCACCAGGCAGCCTCTTGCTCCTCCATCAGTTGTGAGTCCACCCTTCCTGACGTACCTGTCTGCCCGAGCCTGTCCAGAATATACAGGTAGCCATGTGGTGGTGCCCCAGTGGTTCAGGAGGTTGACTCTGGGGCAGACTGCCTGTCTCCATCTGGCCTCCTCATTTACTGGCTCTGTAACTTTAGGAAAATTACTTAACTTCTCTAAGCCTCAGTGTTCTCATCTGTAATATGGTGATAATAATGGTACCTCCTAAACAGAATTGTTGTAAAGGTTAAAAGAATTAAAATTTGCAAAGGAATTACAGTGCCTGGAATATCGTAAATCTGCAGTCAGTGTTTGCGATTAATAAGTCCCTGCCCATTCACTGCCTGTGGTGGTCCTCCGTTAACCCACTGTCAGTAGTTACAGAGAGTGTTAGGTGTCCCTTTGGTGCTTATTTTTGTGCTAAATATGCCCAAAGAATATATAAACAAAAGGACACATGCCTTTAAGAGCTGTCAGTCCCAGATTTTAGCCAACCCATGCCCTGTGATTGAAATGGGTGCCACAAACAGTCCTCACCAGGACTGTGACTGCATGCGTGCCTTTCTCTAAGGAGGGCATTGGATTTTTAACATATCATTTTCCTTCCTTTTATTTGGTACCTGTGGATAGTTTAATGGGATGAGGAAAAGGCAGGAGGGCCACCTCCTGGGCATGGATGCTGAGTTAGTTGAGTGTGGATATGGGCCCTCCAAGTATATGAAGGAGGGGAGGATACCTCTCAGGAGCCCTCAAAACCAGGTTCCAGGTCACCCCATTGGTCTCCCACCATATGCCCAATTTGCTGGATCCTGAGGGACACTGAAGATGTGTATGGCATGATTCCTGTCCCCAAGGATCTTATAGTCTGGAATGGAAGAGCAGTATGTCTTGGTTCTTCTTAATTACATAGTATGAACTGTGTGGGCCTCTTGGAATCTAGAGAAGAGAGAAATAAATAAGAATTGATGGCATATTTATCAATCAGAACTCCCCAAGGTAGTTTAAGCAAGAAGTAGCTAATCAGCAGAGCAGGTTTTGGAGCTGAAGGTATAAAGGATGTCATCAGGACCTACTACTGCTTTCACTCCATCCTGGCTCTCTGCCTCTGGCGTGGCCCCATTCCCAGACAGGCCTTGCTCTTGTGGTGGCCAGGTCACACCAGCGATGTCGGAGCTCCTGGATTCAAGTTCCAGTCCAGCGTTTCCTTGGAAGTCCCACTCGCCCGCTGGCCCAGTTTGGCTCTCATGTCCGTGCCAGAGCCAGCTGCTGGGGCCAGAGGGGTGCGGCACACTGACTGGCTCAGACTTGGTCACATGCTTTACCCTAAGCCCTGGGTTCAGCCCCACCTGAGGGAATGGTCCAGGGACTTTCTGTGGGAGTGAAGGATTCTGCCATGAAAACAGGCTGTTCCTTGAATAAGGACGTAGATGGTAGTGAGGAGAACCACATGCCTGCTACATCTGCCCAGGAAAGGCCTCCCAAAGGAAAGGGGCTTGAACTGGGCCACAGGAGAGACAGGCTGGGGTTGGGCAGGACTGGGCATATGAGCCTGCAGACTGGTGGGTTCTGGAAATGTGTGCCGAAAGCTTAGAGGCCAGAATGTGGTGCGTCTGCTCCCGCAGTATAGACACTGCTGCCTTTCCCATACACTCAGCTCCTCCACTGCAGAAGGGAACGGGTGTGAAAAGTCACACACACAACCCCCTCCCCCCATCATGTGCCCCTGGGAGCTTGTTTCTGGCTTCTGCATGTTCTGCAGTGCAGAGGGAGTGCTCCGTGGCAGAGGAGTGGGAGGGATGTGGGCGGGGGAGTGAAAAGTTGGGATAAGTAAGGCAGGGCCCTTGGGGGCTTCTCTGAACAAAGCAGGACTTGGAGCTTGATCCGGGAGTTTTAGGGAGCCCGGATAGGTGCTTGAGCAGGGATGTGATGGGAGAGAAGAGTTTTGGGAAGGTTCGTCAGGCAGTGGTCACAAAGTGGACAGGAGGAGGAGAGTGGATTGCAGGGACACTCTGGAAGCAGTGTGGTCAGGGCAGGGAAAGGATGCGGCTGCAGTTTGGGGGAGCTGCAGGCAAAGAGGGTGGATAAGAGATGTTTCAGAGGGAACATGAATGGGGCCGAGGATGAAGGAAAGGCAGGAGTCAGGGATGATTGGGATGGGTGGAGAGTGCCTAGACCTAGCCTCTTTCTTCTGCCCCCACCCCCATCCTGTAGCAATCAACAGGCAAGGGGGCTTTTCCTTTCTCATGGGTTTTTGTGGTGGGGATGTGACCCCAGCTTGGAAATCTCCCCCCTTAAACGTGCTCCTCCTGCTTGTAAACCTTGCAGAGAAGAGACACTTTCATCTCTCCTCCCCACTGCTCCTCCCATCTCAGGCCCAGGCCTGGGGCCCTGGGCCCTCCTGGAGCCCTGCCCAGTTCTGCAGGTAGGTGAGCTCATGGAAAATTAGCATTCCAAGCTGGCGTCCCTTCCTCCCGCTCTGCTGCAATGGGAGCTGTGCAGAGACTGGAGAGAATGACAAGTACCTCGCGGGCTCTCCTGGAACCTCTCCTTCCTGCCTAGACCCTGGCTTCCCGTCCTGCCTGACAGACCTCTCCGGTCCTCACCTGCCCCCATCTTCATCCGGGAGAAGCCTGGCCCCGAATATCTGCCCAGAGCCATCACCTGCTTCACAAGATTAGCTGAGAGGCAGAGGTGCTGCAGCGGCACAGGGACGCGGCAGGCACTGCCTGTGGAGGGGGGCTGCTGTCACTTGCCATTCCGCCAGCCCCACCGGGAAGCTGCAGCCCCTGCCTGCCTCACTCCTCCCTCCTGGGAGAGGGTCTGTTTTCTCTGCAAAGCTTTTTCCTTTTCCCTCTTTGTGTTTCTACTTCTTACCTCCACCCCCACCCCCACCCCTTTTCTCTCTACTGATTGACACCTGGTGACTCTCAAGGTTAGGAAGCACTCAATCAGCTGCCTGCATAATTAGCAGATCATTCTTAATTATCCCTGTGAATTATCCATGTGAGTGGAAAAGATAAAGGTGAAGGCAAGAGCCCTGGTTCAGGGTCTGCAGTGCCTGGGGACAGGACAGGCAAGAGGAGGAGCAGCAATTACGGGGCAGGAGTGGGCGCCTCTCCCCTCTGGCAGCCTGCCTCTGCGGACTGGGGCGCTGATCGGCATGCCAATCGGATTGTGAGGAGCCGGGCTGCACTGCAGGGCCCGTGGGCCTGCCTGGCCTCATAGAAAGGGATGGAGAGTCAGCTTTGGAGGGGGTGGGATGGGGAGCCCAAGCAGTGCCTTGGCCAACTGTCCCCTCCTCCTGTCACATCAGGAGCAGAGTGGCCCCCAGGTGCCTCCTTGAATGCCTCCCACCCCAGCCAGGGGAGCTGCTTACTGTCGCCCTGCCCTCTGCCCTCCATGGCAAAGTGCTTATTCTGGGCCTGAAACTTCCTTCTCCGTGTCTGCCCACACGGCCTCTTCTGGCTTCCCTCAGTGTCGGGCCCCTCAGCCCTCCCTCCACCTCATGGGTAGAAGAGCGAATGTTACCAGTACTTCGGACATGTCAGCTAGTACAGGAACACTGGACATATATTTGCTCTTAAACTTTCATAGCCATTCCATGCATAGAAGTTACTGCTCTACTTTTCAGCTGAAGGAGCTGGGGCATAGACCAATTAAAGGACTTACCCAAGGTTATTCTGCTATTAAACAGATGTTAACGCTAGTCTGTGGGACATTGTACATGGCTTCAGTAATAAGCTTGGAAACTGAACTACTTTGAAGCAGGCCGCCAAGCCAAGGGCACTAGATCAGGAATGGGAAACAGTTGCCCTTTGGCCACCATCCCCTACCCTTATGGTGGCTGTTGCTAATTAGTTATTGCACTCAGTCCCAGCCCCAGTGTGGCCTAATAGTCCTTCCTACACAGCCTTCTAAAACATCACTGCCAGTGGGTAGAGATGGCATACGCATTGAAAGCTTTCTGCCTGGCCGCTGTGGCTCGGGTTGAGCGTGGACTCATGCACCAAGAAGTCGCCAGTTCAATTCCTGCTCAGGGCACGTGCCCAGGCTGTGGGCCGGATCCTCAGTGGGGGGCATGCAGGAGGCAGCCAGTCAGTGTTCTCTCTCATCGATGTTTCTATCTCTTACTCTCACTTCCTCTCTCTCTCAAATTAATAAAGAGCCCTGGCCGGTTTGGCTCAGCAGTTAGAACGTGGCCTGTGGTCCAGAGAGACCGGGGTTCGGTTCCCACTAAGGACATGTATATCCATTGCAGTTTGTCCCCGGCCCTGGTTGGGTCATGCAGGTGGCAGCCACTCAGCGTGTCCCTTTCACATCAATGTTTCTCTCTCTCTCTCTTTCTCCCCCCCTCCCACTCTGTCTGAATAAAAAATGGGTAAATGTTCTCAGGTGAGGATAAAACAAATGAATAAATAAAAAATAAAATTAATAAAGAAAAAATATTAACAAATTGAAAGCTTTCTCATCAGTGGCCTGTACTCTCTGCAGTATCATGGCGTATGAATGACTGGAAGAGATTAGCCTGTCTGGGAGCTTTGTCAACAGACTAGTCATTACTTATACTTCCAGGTTCCTGAATAAGAAAATAACTCCAGAAATCATGTCTTCCATTCCCCTGCCCCACACAGGAATCTCCCTTAAAGTATTCCCGACAGCTGGGCATCCAGCTTGAATAGGACTGTTTTGCAAAGCTATGCACCTGTTCACTAGAAAGTTCTTAAGTAGAACCAAGGTTTGCTTCCCTGTGACTCAACCCATGGGTCCTAATGCAGCCCTCTGGGGTGACAGAGAGTAAGTCTAATCACTTTCCACCTGGTATGGTGAAATCTTTGACATTTTGAGGGAAGTATCGTATTCTCTAAGCCATCTCCTCTGTAGCCAGACACCCTTCAGTTACCTTTGTATGACATGACTTTCTCACTCATCTCCTTCCTCATTGCCCTCCTTTGGTCGTTCATAACTTGTTTCTTTTTATTCAGCCAGTGTTTGTTACATGTCAGGCACTGCCCCGGGTGCTAGAGATGCAGCAGTGAGTGAGGAGATAAAACTCGAGTGCTCTTAAAATGTGGTCCACTGGAAAGGAGACACAGCCTTGGAAGAGACTGATGCCGGGCACAGATCAGTTCATTAACGCAGGGCTCTGTTTTCTCTGTGCTGCCTCTAAGAGAGCGAATGTTCCTGATTTGTTGAAAGAAGGTAGAAGAGCCCTGGCCGGGCAGCTCAGTTGGTTAGAGCATCCTTCCAATATGCCAAGGTTGTGGGTTTGACCCCCAATCATGGGCACATACAAGAATCAATCAGTGGCCCTGGCCAGTTTGGCTCAGCGGTTAGAGCATCAGCCTGTGGTCCAGAGAGATCTGGGTTCGGTTCCTGCTAAGGGCATGTGCCTCGGTTGCGGTTTGTCCCCGACCTGGTTGGTCATGTGGGTGGCAGTCACTCAATGTGTCCCTTTCACGTCAATGTTTCTCTCTCTCCCTCCCTCCCTCCCTCCCTCCCTCCCACTCTATCTGAACTAAAAAGTAAAAAAATGTCCTTGGGTGAGGATAAAAAAGAAAAAAAAAAAAGGAATCAACCAATGAATTCATAAATAAGTGGAACGGCAAACTGATATCTATCTCTCTCTCTCTCTAAAGAACAATGTAGAAGAGGGACCAGGAGCTATGTGCCCTAAGATTGTATTTCTTTTTTAAGCTGCTTAACATTCTTTTGGCTCACACTGAATTTATAGTTAACCAAAACCTCAGGTCTGTCTGCACCTGAACTACTGCTCAACCGCCACCTTCTGTGTTTTTGTGCACTTGACTTTTTCACCTAAATGCTGGGCCTCACATTCACTCCTTGTCGATTTGATCTTGTTGCCAGCGTTCCATCCTTCTGGCCTCAGGATTATTTGAGCCTTGATTCCATCATGCAGACCCTCCCCCACTTGTTATCCCCAGTTTATTGATCAAGTGTTAAATGAGCTGGACGGGGCCCTGCCACAGACCTTCGTACAGGCTGAAATCAGTTCATTCTTCAGCGGCGCCCTTCAGATCCTGTTGTTGTCTGGCCCTGGTTTTCCTACGTGTACTTTCCTCCAACCCCCATAGCTCCATCCTGTCTGCAGGACTTTGTGAGAAACCATCAAAATCCTTGCTGACTCAAACCCTGGCCAGTTTGGCTCAGCAGTTAGAGCGTTGGCCTGTGGTCCAGAGAGTCCCGGGTTTGGTTCCCGCTAAGGGCATGTACCTCGGTTACAGTTTGTCCCCAGTCTTGGTTGGGTCGCGCGGGTGGCAACCACTTGATATGTCCCTTTCACGTCGATGTTTCTCTCTCTCCCTCCCACTCTATCTGAACAAAAAATGGAAAAATGTCCTCAGGTGAGGATAAAAAAAAAAGATCCTTGCTGACTCAAGATGCACTGCGTTTAAGGTTTTCCCCTGGTGCACCAGTCTGATAGTCCTGTCCAAGAAAGCATTGCTGTGCATTTAGAATAATGGTGGCCCCTGGGACCTGCTTCTTCCTTTTCTAAGTGCTCACAGACCCTCTCTGTAATAATACATTCTGGAAATTTTCCAGGGTTCATTGTTAAACTTGATATTTACAATTTTAAGAAATCAGCTCTTCTCTGTTTAATGGAAGAACCAGAACAGGGTAGCCTTTGTCCATCTGCAGGCCTGATGCCCTCCCCCTCCACATCGACTTTGAGTGGAGTGGTTACATAACCACTGAGGTGGTTCAGCACCCAGCGCCCGAGTGGCACAGTTGGGAACTGGACGTAGCAGCTTGTGGTCAGTACCTTCCCAGCAGATGAAGATCTTTCTCCCTGTGGAAAAGGTGGAGCTCATACTGGAAAAGATGGGTGGTCTGTGTTCTCACGCTGGGAGGCAGCTGCCGTCTTGTTCTGTCTGCACTGCTGTCCCACTCAGACCAGCTCTGAAGGAACCTGGGCTGCGCTGGGTGCCTGCGTGTACCCCAGCCCCCACCCCACTCTCCACTGTGGTACACGAGGAGCCAGGTGTGACCAGGGAGACTTCATCAAGACGGAGACCCCTGGGCTTGTGAATCTGGCTGATGGGTGGGTTCTCTGGGGGCCAAACCTTCCAGATGGTGGGGATGGTTTAGAAAGGCTGGGCCAGAGTCGTGACCGTTCCTTTCACTCTTTAGAGAACTCTCAGTCCGCTGTCCCCACCACGGAGGCAGTGGGGACTCTGCCGCCCACCACATCCTCCCACCTTTCCCCAGGTACTCAGCTGGCAGCTCTGCCGCATTTCTCCTGCCCTACTTGTGTGCTCGCTCCTGCCAGGTGGATAGGGATGTGCCGCGCGGAATGTGGAGCGCGTGGTGGTCGTGGGCAGGAACCTGTCTGTGGCGGTGGGGGAGCCTTTGCAGGAGGATGGGCTGGCACGTGAGAGCCAGAGAGCCCCCCGGGAGGCAACAACAGTGTCCCTTCAGATGGCTTGTCTAGGTGCCAGCTTGGGCCAGGGTAATTGCCCTCCCTGCCCAGAGCTGCAAGGAACTTACTTAATTCAGTGCATTCCCGGATCCTTCCGTTTAGATCGTCCTTGCAAGGCCACCGGGGCAGTTCCAAGGTTGATCCCGACAGGCAGGTAACATTGTTTCTCTACAGTCCTTTGCTCAAGCCCCTGTTTTTTGCAGGTTTGCTGTTAGAGGCAGGAGGTATGCAGGAGGCTGTAGGGGCTAGAGGAGCAGCCTCCAGCCCGTCATTTTTCCCATGGCAGGATCTCCCAGCGGGTGGAGCTGAGCCGGAGCCAGCTGCAGGCCATTGGGGAGAGGGTCTCCTTGGCCCAGGCCAAGATTGAGAAGATCAAAGGCAGCAAGAAGGCCATCAAGGTAGCCCCTGTGTCCCTTTGGCTGATGGGGAGTCACAGTTATCCCATTCTCTGCCATATCCCCATGCCCCCAGGTCCCTACCTTCACTGTCCAGCCACACCTCAAGCTTTCCTCCTCCTCAGAGTCCCCCTACCCAACCCTAGGCTCTCTGGAATTTCCCTGGGCCCCTGAAAAAATGTCAGATTCTCCCTGTGTCCACAGGTGTTCTCCAGTGCCAAGTACCCAGCTCCAGAGCGCCTGCAGGAGTACAGCTCCATCTTCACGGGTGCCCAGGACTTCAGCCTGCAGAGACGCCCCCGCCACAGGATCCAGAGCAAGCACCGCCCCCTGGACGAGCGGGCCCTGCAGGTCTGCCGGGCACACCCAGCTCACACACTTGCAGGGAGTGACCAGTGGCAGTCCTGGGTGTGGGGGAGAACTAAGGGCCTCCCATAGGGATTTGTCCCCCAAGAGGATTCTGATGGGATGGGGTTGAGGTCACTGGTCTGGCCCTGAAACCCACCATTCTTGTCACACCCCCCCCTCCAGGAGAAGCTGAAATACTTCCCTGTGTGTGTGAACAGCAAGTTGGAACCTGAGGCCGAGGCCGAGGAAGGGCTTGGGGGTCTTCCCAGCAACATCAATTCTGTCAGCTCCTTGCTGCTCTTCAACACCACTGAGAACCTGTACGGCCAGAAGGGGGCTACACAGGGGTGGTTGGAGCCCAGCTGCTTAGTGGGGACACTAGGGGCACCAGACATAGGAGTCTGCAGCCCGCAGCGCCACCACCAGTTCGGTTTGCCTTGTAGGGCCTGGGAATCCACTGTACGGACTAATGCGGTCCCTGGTGAGGTGGGAAAGTAGGTCAGGGCCATGGGCCTGGAACAGATGACACATTACCCGGCTTCCACCCCGCCTCTGCAGGTACAAAAAGTATGTCTTCCTGGACCCCCTGGCTGGTGCTGTAACCAAGACCCATGTGATGCTGGGGGCAGAGACAGAGGAGAAGCTATTCGATGCCCCTCTGTCCATCAGCAAGAGGGAGCAGCTGGAGCAACAGGTAGAGAGAGATGGTGCCAGGGTGGGTGGGGTTCCGGTGGATGAGGTGGTGGGGCCCTGCAGCCCTGCCAGGGTCCTTACGAGGTCTGTGGAGCCCCTTATCCCACCCCAGTGACTGTCCCAAGGTCAAACTGCAGAGCCCATGACCCCTGCAGCACCCCAGCTCATGTACCCCCACCTAATCCTGCAGGTTCCAGAGAACTATTTCTATGTGCCTGACCTGGGCCAAGTGCCCGAGATCGACGTGCCATCCTACCTGCCCGACCTGCCCGGCATCGCCGATGACCTCATGTACAGTGCTGATCTGGGCCCTGGCATTGCCCCCTCCGCCCCTGGCACCATTCCGGAGCTGCCCACCTTCCACACAGAGGTGGCCGAGCCTTTCAAGCCAAGTGAGTGAAAGCCAGGAAGGGGTGTTGGGCCACTTTCTTCCCCAGACATCTCACATTTCTCACACTTGTTTCAGACCTAGAAGATGGGGTCCTAACAGCACCCCCACCACCACCGCCCCCACCGCCACCTCCCCCAGCTCCAGCAGTGCTGGTCAGCACTCCTGCACCCCCACCCCCACCGCAGACTGTGGCCTCTCCAGCTGCAGGTGCCAAGGAGGAAGACAGCAGATCTCCTTCAGGTAGGAGCAGCAGCAGGCACGTGGGCGCGTGGGGGTAGGGAGGGTAAGGGTGCTCGCTTTGAGGGCGCCTAATTTCTGGGTCCCTGAAAGATTTTCTCTAGGTTTGTTAATTGGGCATAAATTCTATAGTTTCAGAATAATAATGTTTAAATCTTGTTCCATTGGGTTCATAAAATAGTGGTTTTCAGCCCTGGCCGGTTTGGCTCAGTAGTTAGAGCATCGGCCTGCAGACCAATGAGTTGAGGGTTCAGTTCCGGTCAAAGGCAAGTACCTCGGCTGGTTTGTCCCCAGCCCTGGTCGGGTCGATGTGTCTCTCTCACATCGATGTTTCTCCCCCTCCCCCGCCCTCCCACTCTATCTTATTATAAAGAGAAAAATATCCTCGGATGAAGATTTAAAAAAAAAAAGTGGTTTTCAGACTGAGCCCTTAGAGCTCCAGAAGTCATCCTCCAGGGTAGAGGGAGCCTGGGCACACAGGGCTGTGTGGGTCCCCCATTCCCATGTAAACCAATGGACAAAGGGGGCTACTAAAATAATTGAAAACCACAGCAACAAAATACCCATGTGTCCCTTAAATTTCAGAATTCCGTTTGACTGGTCTCCCAGTCGTCTCTGCCGTCCAGAGCGGCACAGGGACCCCTTGCTGGATGCGTCACATCAGATGCCCAGCACATCAGTAATTCCCAGGGTCCCCGTCTGCAGGTGGACCTGAGCTGGGCGGGGCCCGGAGAGGGAACGGGTGCCTGGACACAGGGCTCCCTGAGCTCAGGCGGATGCGGTCTGCGTCCAGGCCTCGCCGAAGGCCCGCCTTCACCAGCTGGCTTCCTCTTCAGGAAGAGCCCCTCCTCACAGCCAGGCTGCTGAGGGCTCCTCTGGACCCCCGGGACCTGAGGCTGGGCAGGGCTGTCCCACAGCCTAGCCCTGGCTGAGCAGCCTTCTCGCCCCCCCCCCCCCCAGCGCCAGTCCAGGGAGCTCCCAAGGAAGTGGTGGACCCCTCCAGTGGCCGGGCCACCCTGCTGGAGTCCATCCGCCAGGCTGGGGGCATCGGGAAGGCCAAGCTCCGCAGCGTCAAGGAGCGCAAGCTGGAGAAGAAGAAACAGAAGGAGCAGGAGCAAGGTGAGGGCCCCTACACCCACTCTAGTAGAGGGCTAAGTAAAGGGCCTCCTCTGTAACCACCCAGACTCCAGCAGGGTGTTCCTTGCCACCCAGGTGTCAAAAGGCCCCCGCTTCCCCGGGCCATTTGCTGGAAACCCTGGGTGGCCACACTAACATCTCCACCTCTGCTCCTTCGGCAGTGGGTTCCTGCTGGAGTTTGGAGCGTGCTTGGTGGCGCTTTCTTCTCTAAGTTGGTGGGGACAAGCCTCACCCTACTGGAGAGAATCTCATCCTCTGCCAGCTGTCCAAGCTTACAGTCAGGACCTGAGATATTTTAGAAACAGGACCTGGACGGGTAGCTCAGTCCTGTCTCTAGGCCTCTTGGAGCTACAGATACTTCTGCTGTGACACTGCATAAATAGCACTTGGGCATAAAGCGACAGCACACTGGATGTCAGCAGTCCTGAGCTCGAGTCCAGCTTTGCTTCTGAGCTTTGCACACTGACCCAGGCAAATTGCCTACGTCTCTGGCCAGTTTCCTCCTCCATACAGCGGGGCTGCTCATTCGTGCCCTGCTCAATGGCCGTGACGGTATTACTCACATTTTCTTATCAGTGCCCTGGTGCCGGGCCCACCGACAGGCTGAAGCTCTAAGAGCTGGTGGTGACATGTGGCTGTGGAGGGCTGGGGTGTGTCAATAGTGAAGGAAGAGGACAAACGTGGCCGAACCCTGAGAGTGTCACCCAGGAGGTTTCACACTTGGCCCCTTCCTCCTGCCTCACCGTATTTGTATTTTCCGTTGCAGTGAGAGCTACAGGCCAAGGCGGGGACCTGATGTCGGATCTCTTTAACAAGCTGGTCATGAGGCGCAAAGGTAGGGCAGAGCGCTGCTGCCTTCCCAGGGCCGGGGACTTGGGGGTGCGTGCATCACCCACATTCTGCCTTTCTCTTCCTGTTTCTAAGTCTTTAGGGGCTGGGTGAACCAGTGCCCCAAACCAACCCCTCATCCTCCACCTCTCCCCTCCCAGGCATCTCCGGGAAAGGGCCTGGAGCCGGGGCCAGCGAGGGGCCAGGAGGAGCCTTCGCCCGAATGTCAGACTCCATCCCACCTCTGCCTCCCCCACAGCAGCCACCTGGAGAGGAGGACGAGGAGGAATGGGAGTCCTAGGGGCTCAGCAGCTCCTTCTCCCCAAACCCAGGCTGAGGCTCTTGCCCCACATGGAAACAGCTGGGATGGGCTCCTTGGCCTGCTGGTCTCTCGGCCCCTGCTGCCCTGGGAGGCATGGGGATCACAGAGGACTCCCCCAGGTCTGTGCCTGAGCCATCTTCAAGGAGCAGGGAGGCTGGCTTCTAAAGGTCATGGCAGGGGCCCCCACTTTTTGCCTGTATTCCACCCCCCTCCTTCACAAGCATGCGCTTCTCTTCCCTGAGACTGAGATGCAGCAGTATACGAGTCAATAAAGAAATACAATGGAGACCCGAGCTTCAACCAACAGTGCACTTTTAATTAAGGAACTACAGCGGTGCAGAATGCAAACGTCTCCGAGCCAGGGCCTGTGCTCCCACGCCCGCTGGTCTCAGGTAATGGGGCAGGGTGCCGAGTGGACCAAGGCCCCTCTCTGGGGTCAGGGACAGAAGAGGTGTAGTCACCAGGGGCAGCTGTGGCAGGAGGGAAGGATATTTTCACACAGGAAAAATGTCTCGGTGATAGACACAGCGTACCTAAAAATAGTCATGCTGAGAGCCTAATGGCCCTTGGTGTAATTGCTGATGTCAGGGGAAGAGATGACTTGGAGTATGCTCAAGTGGCTGAGAGGGAGAAGGTGCCACCAACCTGAAGGACCTGGAACCGATCCAGGGAGATACGAATGCTGTGGCACAGGGCAGGGCCAGCCCTGAAGCGGAGAAGTGAGGCCAGGGAACAGGAGCAGCGCACAGGGCGCTTCTCCCGGTTCTAACCGGCTTCGGTGCCCACTTTGTCGTTGGTGGTGCTTACTCCCCACACGGCGGTGGGTTGAAGTAACCAGAAGCCAGAGGGCAGAAGAGCCCAGGACACCAGGGCACTGGAAATTGGGAACATTCTTAATTTCGAGGAAAGGGTCAAGGTCTAGAACAGCTGGTTTCAGTTGGACAGGGAAGAGGAGAAAAGGGAGAGGCAGGAGGCCTGCCCCGCCTCACCTCAGGGAACGAGCCAGGCCGGGGATGCTGCAGAGGAAGGGCAGCTTCCCCAGCGCCCGGGAAGGCTGACCATGGGGAACAGGGAGACAGAGAGACAGATTCAGTGTCAGGGAGGGAACGGCCCTGGATGGGCCCAAGCATGGCCAGGACCCCGTTTGTTCAGGATGAACCTAATGTCCGCCTAATGGCTTCTGCACCTCCGCCTGGGTCCTGGCCACCCAGTGAGTCCAGCAGGGAGGTGGCCTGCACTCCAGAGAGGTGCGGCCAGCCCTCAGGAAAGACCAGACTTCTCGTGGTGAAACTGGGGAGACAGGGAAGGACAGTGAAACACTACATGGGGGTCTTGGTGGGGAGTTCTCGGGGGAAGGGAAGGCAGGACTGACCTTCCGCAAAGCAGCAAAGGCAGAGCCAAAGGTGGCTTTGACCTGCACACGGTCTCGGATCCAGGCTGGCAGCTTTGCCAGGACGGGTGGACGGGCGTAGCGCTGGTCCAGGAGCACTATGCTGGCAAAATCCCTCTGGTGCCTGATGGCCCTGCCTGGGTGGGAACAGGCTGGGCTGTGATTAAACCACCTTCCTGACAGTACATTTCTGGTGTCCCTTTCCCGTCCTCAGCCCTCACCCTGTCCCCTCACTCGTCATCCATCCCTCCCCAGCTACTCATCCTCTCAGCCAGGGACAGTCCCAGGCTCACCTATAGACTGGTTGACAGCCTTCATACATAGATTCTCCACCAAAGCCTTTCCTGGGGGGGGCTGGCCTGGGGTCCGGGGCTGCGAAGGGCAAAGGAGACAACCTGTCGGAACTTTCTTGCCTCCTGCCTAGTGTTCCGAGAAAATGACACTGCCCGAGACCAGTCGGCTCCCTGGGCACAGTGCCAGCCGCTGACATAATGGGTGATGTCATGGGCAGCTCAAGAGGATATGGAGGATGCCGCCATCCCTTGGAGCAAACAGAAAACACCGGCACACAGCAAGGGGCAGCGGGGAAGCGTATCTCAGCCCTAAGGCCCCGAGCTCCCCCGCCTCCCCTCATCCGAGGCCCCGAGCTCCCCTGCCTCCCCTCATCCGAGGCCCTGAGGCCCCGAGCGCCCCCGCCTCCCCTTACCGTCTGGAAAGGGGAGTACTCACAAGGGTCTGATCCAGGTAGGCCATCTTCTCTTGGAGCTCTGGAGACTTGATGTTGGGGTAGGGCATGCCCACCAGAACCACACACCTAGGGTGGAGAGACACAGGAGCCAAAGGCACCGGGGTTCTCAAGGCCGAGGACGAAGGGCCGGCCCTCCCACGTCAGAGCTCTGGGTCCACCACTCCCGCAGTCCTCAAACTGCTCGGCGCTCTCCCTCCCACCGATACCTACCACCTGGAAAGGGGTTTTCCGCTAAGAGATCCAATCTGGGCCAAGGAACTGGTAAAGTTGTGGTCTGCCTAAATTTTTACCTGGCCTCCAAGGGCCAAACCCAACACTGCCAAATCACTTCCCCACAAAGCTGCCTACACAGTCAGCCCAGGTGCAGACTCGGACGGCAGGGCTGCCAGGGCTGGGGCAGCTGCTCGTGAGGGTGGGCAGGGACCAGGAGTCCCAGGAGATGGGAAGCCCGCCACTTACCGGCCGAGGTTGTCAGAGAAGTTGATGCCTTCACTCATCTTCCCTCCGACCACGGAGAGCAGCAGGGCCCCGGTGACCATGCCTCCCGCTTGGCCGTGGCACTGCGGGGACAGCCCAAGGCTGGGACGCCATCCAACGCTTGCAGCCGCCAACCCCACGTCGGGCCCAAGGCCTGCGCGCCACCTCTCACCTGGATGCACCTGGAATACGCTGCCAGCACCTGTTCCACCTGGTCTGCTCTCTTGGGCTCCTGAAATATCTGAAGGCAACAGGGTTTCAGGATGCCTGGGTCACAGGTCTGCTCCAGGCCTTTTTCCAGCTTGGAGAACCCCATGGGCTTTGGGGACTCCCCTAGGTAATGATCAGGGATTAGAGGTGGTGGGAGAAGCCCCTGTACTGGAGGCCTGACCTTCCGGTTTGATGTCATGAGAAATCCCGGGGAACTCTGGGTTCACTGTCCCCACAAGTGGAAGGTCCAGCTGAGGGGTCACTCACCTTTTTCCGGACAGCCAGGCGGGCCAGCACGCCACTCTTGTCCCAGTGGGCATGGACTTGGCGTTGATACTCATAGGAGGGGAAGAAACAGATCACCCCTCCGGGGACCACATTGCACAAGTTACAAAGGATGCGGCCTATCTCGTCCATCTAAGAGAGAAAAACAAGGGGTACTCCATGGGGTCACTCCTGAAGCCGCACCCAAAAAGGGCTCCTAACCTTAGGGCTCGGAGCCAAGTACAGAAACCCACGGGCGAGTGTGGTCAGGAAGGCCGAAGGCCAGGTGGCAAGTCCTGGCTGGGAATCACAGATTGGCTTGTGCCACCCTCCCTACCAAACACACCCAACTGATGCTCCTGGTGGCTGGCAGCATGACACACCGTGAGGCTAGCACACCGGGCTACACCTGGTACTGGTCCTCCTTCCCCAGCCCCCAGCGTCCTGCGGGCACCTTGGGGTTAAGCACCACCTGTGACAGCCCGGGCAGTGTAAACCCCAGGCACGCCACTGGAGAGGTGCCCCCAGCACCTGCACCCCTGCCAGGGAGGGACCAAGGTAACCAAATGACAAGAGAACCAAAGGAAATGGTTTCTCAGGAGCGTCATCCTAGAAGGATGACTGGAGGCAACAGGAGCACTTTTCTTTTTTAATCTTCACCCGAGGACATCCTTTCATTGATTTTAAAGGAGGAAGGGACGGGGAGAGAGAAAAACATCGACTGCCTGCCTCCTGTATGCGGCCCCCACCAGGCATCGAACCCGTAACCTGAGTATGTGCCCTGACCGGGAATCAAACCCGTGACCCTTTAGTGCACAGGATGACACTCCAACCAACTGAACTACTCTGGCCAGGACAAGAACCCTTACCCAGTAGCCTAAGGAGTGAGGGGCGTGGGGAACGACGACCTTCCCTGATAAACACCGAGGTGCCACGCATCCTGTGCCTGCTCTGAGGGCAGACCGCACCGATACCCACACGCTCAGGACTGGCCAGGTCCCCTCCCAGAACTCTGCTGCTCCCCCAAAGGCCCTGGTGAGGCAGGTGGCTGGTACTCACCATCTGAGGCAGCTCTCTCTTCAGGTACGTGAATTCCAGCTGCTGGTTGGAGGGCCCACTGCAAAGGACGAGGGGCAGGATGTTGTCTGGAGGGATCACGTGACCTGGGGAGACCCAGTGAGAGCTGACTGCTCTGCAAGGCCAAGTCCAGAAAGAGCACTGCCCAGCCCTTGCCTCAGACTAGGAGCAGCAATTTTTAACATTCACCCACCCACCCCGTCCCCACAATAAAACAGCAGTGCTCAGGCCTCGCCCACGTCGATGGAGGAGGCACAGAGCATGAGAGCAGAGGTGGTGAGCTCACAAGACAGCTGGCAAAGGATGAGACGCCATCCCGTGGTCTCTTCAGCCCCTTAGGCCAGATAGCGGCATATGGCTCAGTTAGGACAACACAGGGCCATGTGACTATATGGCCCACCCACCCTGGACAGGGACCCTCACCACAGGAAAACTCCACCAGTCGCTCGGCTTCCACCCCAGCACAGGCCAGCAGCTGCTCCCGGAAGTCAGACACCTGAAGACCACAACATCAGGGCCCTGAGACCCCCAGAGGACAGGGACAGGGGCCTCAGGTCTGAGCAGGAAGGGGCCTTGGCGGGGAGGGGAAGAGAGAGTCACTTGGAAACAGAAGTCTGGGTGAGGAGACAGAGTACGTAAGAGAAAAGAGGTGACAGGAAAGGCTGGTAACAAATGAGCCGGAAGGATGAAACAACTGAATGACACCCGTGCTGACAGTCTCATTTAAGCTACCTGTGGGAACAGCAAAGGAAATCTGGCAAATTTGGCACAGTGGTTCTCAACCCTGGCTTTGCAACAAAATCATCACTGTGAATTTAAAAACATATATTCATGGCCAGGCTCCAGCTCAAACTACTGAAGCAGAGTCTCTAGGGGGAGGAATATGCTTCTGTATTTTTAAAGAGCTCCATCCAGGTTTTTTACCTATCAAATTAGCAAAAATCCAAAAGTGTGACCACTCTGGAGAAACAGGCATTCTTATACATTGCTGGTGGGACACAGACTAGTACTACTGCGGCCACAGGAGAATGACAACATTTAACAAATTAGATGTACTTTGACTTTCTATCCCAGTAATCCCATATCTAGGAGTCTCCCCTGAAGCTACAGCCCAACAAACCAAATAACAGACTCACAAGGATATTTCTTGCAAAGTTATCTGTGAAAGCAAGACTGTCTTTCCAGAGGGACTGGTCAACCAAGCTAAGCTGTATCCACCCAGTGGAAAACTACATAGCCAGCAAAAGGGAAGCAGCCTGCCCCCAGGTGCTGATGTGGAGTGAGCGCCAGACATACTGCCAAATAAAATGATTATGCCACCTTTGATGTAAGAAAAGAAAGGAAAAAAGAGTACGTACATTCACCTGCTTATTTTGGCAAAATAAATATGTTAGTAATAATAATCATAATCATAACATGAAACAGTGGAAGGCCAGACCAGCAGCTAATAAAGCATGCTTACCTACGGAATGGGGACCAGGTTAGGAAGGAATGGAAGTGAGACTTTCTGATCTTTTTATAGTTTTGAACCATACAGAGGCTTACATATTTTAAAAATAAAATTAAGTCAGCACAAAAGCAAACCCTAAAATGGAAAACAAACGGAAACAAAGAAAGCCTAGCTGTCCATGAAATTCACAATGCAGGCGCTCAGAAGAGCCAATACCGAGTGGCTTCACATCCCTGGGGACCAAAGATCCTCAGCAGGATATACTCGAAGGGCAAAAAAGAAATGCACGGAAACAAAACTTTAATCAATAGGCTATTGTTAAAACATTGGTATTATATTTTGGACACTATTTTAAGTATAATGTGGGAGTTAGCAAATATGGAATTATGTTAATATAAGAAACCAAAAGTTTAGCTCAAGAGAAATGAGACACAGCTAAACTCAAATACATTGATTTTGATTTAGAAATATCAATATGGATCCATGATGTCTGAAAACATATCTCCTAGGTCTGTACTGAGAAGGCCCATAAACAGTAATAGCCGGAGCACTGCCAGCACCCCAGCACCCAGCTCCTGGTGCCCACCCCAGTGAAAGAAACCGGGGCTCCTTGGGGAAGTGAATGATTCCAGGTCTGGGGCAAAGAAAGCATCCAGTGCCTGGGGGGGTTGTGCCAGAAAGCAAGAAGCAGCCCAACACTAAGGGGGCTGCAGCAAGGGGGTTCCCACAGGCCATGTTTGAGACAATTTGGGCATCAAGCCACAATGACTATGAATTATTTTATTTTACTACATGAATGAAAGAAATCTACACGGCTACACACAAGAAAGAATGGAGAAACAATACAGCGACAGAGGGGATCTAGCAGGCAGCGGAGGCTGGGAAGAACGCGTGGGGATGCGGAGCAGAGTGGCTTTTCACGCAGGAAGTCCTGCTCTGTGGCATCTAAGGAAATCACCCCCGTGCAGGGACAGGTTACATTCGTCACGCCACTGTTCAAACAGAGGAAAACTAGAAATCTCCTAAATCCAACAAAGAAGAGTGGATACATAAAATATAATATATTCATGTAATAGGATATAGTACGGCCAGAGTGTGGAGGAATAAATGCTTATTTGCTGACAAGAAAAAATGTGTATGACATTTTGTTGCTGAGTGGGGGAAAAAAGCAAATGATAACAGCATATACAGATAATGCCATATTTTTGTTTTTAAAAATAAGGATGTAGATTTGTAAGAATTACACATACAAAGACTATTATAATGATATGCACCAAAATGAATCTTTTGCTGGTGAAATTATTTTTCCTGTTCTTGTTTTTCTCTGCTTGCTACAATGAAAACATAATAGTTTTCTAAAAATATATTTAAATGTCTAAAAGAGAGGGAAGGTTGTATCTATGGGGTGCAGGAAGGGCACTAGGCACTGAAGTGAGAGGAAGGACATCATCTGGAGACAGTGATCCCGCCGCTAGGGACACCGGGGAGCAGAGGCAGTGAGACAGTACAGCACTGCCACCTGGTGGACACTGCTTGGCCTGCGCACGCCAACCCCTTTCTGGTTTGGGAGCCCAAGGGATGAGGGGGAGAGGCCTGACTGTGCACCTTTCCCCTGTCACTGCCCATCCACCCCCGGGCACGAGAGGCTGGGTCCGGTGTCCTTACCGGCTGCATGGTGCCCCCCGCAATGACCACTGCCCGGCATTCCTTCACCACCTGGGCAAAAGGCACAGCTGGATTCAGCAACAAGAACTTCAGGCTGCTCTGACTGAGGCTGCCTGATAAAAAAACAGAGACGACAGCTACATGGGCAGGGGGCGAGTACAGGCCCAACTAACACGTCTGTCCAGCTACGGCACCGGGACCTCCAGCTGGGTCCATGTAGGAGGCATGAGAGAGATCCCTTTCTCTTTGAATTAAATCCCACTGAATCCCCAGGACAACCCGGAGGTAGAGAGTACTATCCGCTCCCTTTCACGAGGAAACTGAGGTCCAGAGACTAAGAAACTGGTCCAAGACACGCAGCTCCAGGTGATAGAACCAAGACTCAAACCAAAGCTCATGTGACCTTAACCACTGAGCTACACGGCATCTCTCATCCCTGCCTGAGACGACCGACCATCTCAGCACGTCTGTCCGTCCTTACCACCCCACCGCCTGCCCAGGTCCCAGGAGGCTAGGTATCGCCACCCTGTTTCCCCATCCTGACCCGGGGAGGGACGGGAAGTAAAGGCTCCGTTCATGCCCTGGCCTCCCAGCTCCAGGCTGGCGCCTCCTCGGGTTACCTTGGCGACTCAGGATGACCCGGCCATCCTGGTTGGCAGTGGTGAGAGCTGCAAGGAAGCCTTCGATGTGCACCAGCGGGGAAGCCGGCCGCGGTGCCCCGGCCGCCGCCTCTACAGGGGCTGCGGGAGCTGCACAGAGCAGAAGGGAGAGTCTGGAACCAGGATAAGGGCAGAGGGCCTCCTGCAGTTGGACTAAGGCGGTTCTCGGGAAAGATGAGTCCACTGTGAGGAGGAAACATTCTTGCCCAGGGCCTGCAGCCCACCCCACCCCGACTCACCCTCAGTCGCCCCCGCCCCCGGCTGCAGGCTCTGCAGGAAGTGCTGGAGCCCAGCCAGCCCGGGCTGCTCCCTGGGGGGTGGGCGGACTGCCCCGTACCTCTCTGTGAAGACGAGGAGCTGCGGGGATGGGAGCAACAAGACCAATGAGGGCAGCAGTGAGACCAGGGTGGACAAGAGGCTCCCATCTCCTGTCTGCATCTCAGCCCGCCCACCCTGCCCGCCGCCAGGCACCCTGCAGCCCGCCCCACCCGCACGGCAGACCCACGGTGAGGACAGAGATGAGTGACAGTCCCATGGGCGGGAGAGCGCTCCGTGCGGGTAGCGGGCAGGGGTGCTGCGGGCCCACCGGGCCCAGGGAGGGCTGCTGTACCTTTCTGCTGACCATGCTCTTCTCACAGTAGCGCCGCACCTGCAAAACCAAACCCGCTGTAGCCACGTGGGAAGCTTACTCAGGCTGGAAGACAAAAGCAGAACCACTTTCCAAACCCAGGGAGCGTGATCACCACCGCCCGAGGAGCCCACAGCCTCCTGAGGCCAACAGGTTACCCTCCTTTCTGAAGTCACTCCACCCCACGGCCCACACACAGTGCTCTCCCGCGAGGGCCTCTGGCAGGCCTGGCCTGGCCCCTCACAGGTCTGCCTGGCTCTGACCTAAAGGCGCTCACTGTCCCTCTGCTTTCCGTCAGCATGACAGCACCCAAGCTAGACCTGGCGGGGTTAAGAGTTTAAAAAAAAAACCCTCTGGGCAAAGGGACTTGTTCTGTTTGGTTGGTGTGCAGCTGGGGACACCTAGGGGAACTCTGGAGCCTCTCGAGTTCTGAAAAGAGAGGTGTCTTTCCACTGAGACTCAGGACTGCAGTGTGGAAAAGCCACAGAGGGAGGGAACGGAATCAAGACAACCAGAGAGAAGGCCACGGAAAAGCTGAGGACACGGACAGGCGGGATGAATTCAACAGCTACTTCAGGCTATGGGGCCTGGCACCGGTTCGGATGTGGGACACACGAAGAACTCAAGGATGGCCCTGGCCGGTTTGGCTCAACGGTTGGAGCGTCGGCCTGTGGTCCAGAGAGACCCGGGTTCGGTTCCCGCTAAGGGCACGTACCTCGGTTGCAGTTTGTCCCCCGCCCTGGTTGGGTTGTGTGAGTGGCAGCCACTAGATGTGTCCCTTTCACGTCGATGTTCCTCTCTCTCTCTCTTCCTCTCTCTCCCTCCCACTCTATCTGAACAAAAAATGGAAAAATGTCCTCGGGTGAGGATAAAAAACAAACAAAAAAAGAACTCAAGGATGACAGACGCCAGCCTGTCTGAAGGCGGCAAGGGTGGTAACCATGACCACAAGGGGAGGTCGGGCAGGCTGGGCTGAAAGGAAAGGCATGACGGAAAGCAAGCAGGGGGCACACGCTGGCTCTGCCAGGCACTTCTGTGTCACCTGTGTGTGGGGTCCTCCCGGGGTGACCTCACTGGGCCTCGGTTTCCTTTGCTCTAGAATGGCGATGGCACACCCTACCCTAGAGTCACAGAACCGGGTGCACCGCCTCACACACAGTAACTGTTCCGTTACTGTCAGGAAACTAGAATCATACGACTGTGTGTCTACCAACAGCGGCTGTACCCGCCCTGGGAGAGCACGAATATGTCACCTGCAGCACACAGCGCTCTGAGGCTGCAATGCTGCAATCAAACCACGGCTGGAGTGTGGAGAGAGAAAGGTCAAAGGGCATGGCCAGCTGTGACCTCTCACCTCAGCCCAACAGCAGGAGCGCGCTCACAAAGTGAACTAACTTCCTGCTCTGCCTGGCAGCCCGGGGGAAAAACCGAGTCCCGAGAAAGACGGAGTGCGGCACAGGGCCTGGGCGTCTCTCTCTCTGCCTACTTGGTACAAAGAAAGACACCTTTTCTCCTTAATCTCTGACCCTCCGACCCTTGGTTGCAGATTATTTTTTGTGGCTGACACACTGCTGTTTCTCGGGGTTAATGGCAAGTCTGTGCCATAGATCCTCAGCCCTTCTGGACTGCTTGAGGACAGAGGAACTTTTTATCCCTTCCACACTGACACAGTGTTCTGCCCACAGGGGGTGGTAAGGACGAGATCGGACACGCTAATGTGAACTGCTAAAGCCTCTACCTTGAACAGGTTGATGTTGTCGATCTGGCTCTGAAAGAGAAAGTCATTGATGGTCTTCAGCTCTGTCCCTGAGGGTGAAAGAAGAGAGCCCTGGGGTCCTGCTCTGGAGACCACAGCTGTGGGGACAGCTCAGGACGGGTTAGACCGGCTCCGGGCCCAAGGGCCACCCTCTTACCTGTCTGTGAGAGGCTCTGTGTAGTGGGATTTTGCTTGATGTTCCCTAAAAGAGAATTCAAACAGCTCAGGATGGTGGTCGCCTGGGCCCCGTCTTCTCACACTCCCCACTGTGCTAAGGACGTTTGTATCTGAACGGTTTTTTTTGCTATTTTTAGTACCCACAGACCTCTACTGCGGACAGGAGGTTCCAGGAATCCTCCAAGTCTGACCCACACGTGTGGGACGGAGCCCAGCGCCTTGCGATCCCACTCTCTGCACACCCTCCAAGGAGCAGGGCGGAGCGGACACCCCATTCACGCAGGAGCCAACGGCACGCAGGCGGCACTGGGACGGTGGCGAGGCAGAGCTGGACGCGGACAGCACTGACACGCAACGACATGCCCCCAGAACCCGCGGGCGCCGGGACCGCGGAAGGAGGGGGCTGTCGCGCAGAGTGCTGGAAGGACGCCTGGGACCCGGAGCCAGCAGGTCCCAGCTCCTCTCCCGGCTCAGGAGCCGGAGGCTCTCGGCTTCACTCGCCCCTACGGCACTGAGGGCTGGGCCTCCCCCCTGCCTTCCTCGGAGGAGGGCTCCAAGCTGCTGTCACTAGTCCATAACACGTTGTAGCATTATGGCGTCATTACTCCCCCAGAACAGTGGCGAATAAACCAGGGTTCTAAAAAAGATCTAAGCCACACCATTCAAGTAAGCTATAAAAAATGAGAATTTTCCTCATCAACGGCCAAGAGAATCTGAGGACAGAGAACACCCAGATGCCCTGACGGCGTCCAGGGAACCAAGCCCAGCAGGCTGAGCGGGCTGGGGTCAGGACAGGCACGGTGTCCCTTACCACCCAGCACAGTCACAAACTTCTCCAACAGGTACAGGATCTGTTTGATGTACATCAGGTTCTTGGCCTTCAAACGCTTCCTGAGGACAAACCAATGGGCACTAAGTGGGGTTACTCCAACAGCCCCTCCCTTTTAAGTGCCCCAAGCTGAGGCCTTTCTGTCTGGTGTCTTTCAAACTGGGTCACGATACTCCCCCAGGAAACAAGGCCGGCCGTGCCCAAGGCCTTCAGAGCCAGGAGCTGTGTCCTGAGCAGCCCTGGCCCAGATGGGAGCACACCGCGGTGAACCACGAGGGCCCAGGAGACAGCAGCACGCCGGCCCCTCCCACACTGGGCCCAGCCAGGGAGGCCAACCCACGTGCTCCCTCTCTGAGGCTGGCTTAGGGGTGCTGAGGCAGAGCGGGATTTCCCTCCCCCCTCAGGAGGTGGTCGCTCACCTGTATCGTTCCATGTACTGGAGCAACTGGGAATGTGCCTGGCAGAGCTGGGGAGAGAAGAAATGGGAGTAAAGGCAGACCAGGCCCCGGCCCAGTGGCCTCGGGCTGTGCCAAGGACATGTTCGGTTGTGCCTAGGAAATGCCAGCCCCGGACACACGAGGCAGTCAAGGCGAGGAGAGGGGCTGGGTACAGACAGAAGTGTGGGCTAGGCCCTGAGGCTGGTGGGACCTGAGACAGAGGGAAGGAAGGTGGGTTCAGCTGCAGTGCCCACTTTGAGCCAAGAAAACAGCAAGAGGCCGAATCTCTCAGGTAATGAAGCTCCCTACTAGTTTTTACTGGGCTGGAAAAAGACGTGTTGTCTACTAAGAGTGACAGTTCAAGGTAACCGTCACATCCTGGCCTAAGGCCAACCCAGGCACTGGTCAGCACAGGTGGTGAGATGTCATGTGGGTTTCACGGTCAGAAACCAGTGGCCAGCTCCCAGCTCCCCACTTACTAGCTGTGTGACCTTAGGCACCACTTAAACCTCTCTGAATCTGGGTTCTCATGTAAAATAGGAATGCCAGCCCGATGCAGACTGGGCGTGAAGATCAGGGATCTTCTACGGTGCATGGCACGTAACAGGTTAAAAATAAATCGTGGTTTTCAAAAATCTTGAGCATTTCTCAAGTCAATCCCCCCAAAGCAGTATCAATAATGATACCCAACTACACGAGGACCCTGCTTCTCTCAAGCCATTATCCTGGGTCATGGAGAAGTTGTCAGCAGCATCCTGGGCTGAAGACACTCAGGACAACACAAGCCAGTGAAGACCAAGGGCCCCTCTGTCTGAGCTGAATCCCCCAGTTCTGACACCTGCTGCGGAGCAGAGCTGCCCTCACGAGGCCCCCGCCTTGACGCACTGCACCTCCACCAAGCTCCACTCCAGAGGAATCCCAGGTCTAGGCAGTCAGACCGACCTGGGCGCCGCTGACCTCCGTGCTGTGGATGCCTGTGATGGTGTCGATCAGGTTGTGCGCCTCGTCGATGATGACAACCTGGCCCTGCAGCCGGATCCCAGCGGCCTGCCGGGTGGCCGTGTGCAGCAGCATCTGGTAGGGCAGCACCACCACCTGGGAGGAGAGATGGCAGCCACCAGAGGATGGCGGGACTGCTCCTACGGCAGGGTCACCCAGCCTGCTCTAAGCTCCTGGTGGGAAGGATTTTATTTCCTGCCCAGAATAGGTGTAGAAAGTACAGCATCACTCTGTGCTTCTAGCAACAGGCTCTCCTCGGAAGTTTTATGGGGAACGTCCAATATAGGAAACATAGAAGCAAAGCTGATCTGCCTTCTGAATGAACCACGGGCAGGGGTGGGGGGAGGAAGGGAACCTCTGCTGCTTAGCCTTGTCCACACCCCCAAGGCAGCCCCTGAGGCACCCAAGTTTCCTCAAAACACCCTGAAAACCACCGGTGTACCAGAAGGAGCCCGGCTGTGGGATTCTGGGAAAGTCACTTAACCTCTAGGGGCCTCATTTTCCTCATCTGCAAAATGGGCTTCATAAACTCTACAGCAAAGAAGGTCAAGAAGTGGGGTTGGAGTAGAATAAACATTTATTCCAAAAATAAAAACACTCTATAAAATTTTCAGGGGCTCTGGTAGGATGACGATTTTCCAGTTAAAAGAATATCGATAAAGTGAAAATCCAGAAAACGGGAAACTTAAGACCCCGGTTTTAATACTGGTTCCACCACTCATGTGCTGTGATCACTTAACCTTTCTGGATCCCAGTGCCCCCACGTGCAGAATTTGAAAGGACTGGCCTCGGCGCTCTCAGTAGGGGACCACAAAAGAAAAAAGGAGGTGAAAAGTGCCTTCAAAAGTCAAGAGCATAAAACTTGCAGGACACCTGATACTGGCACCGTGTCTCCAGCGCGGACCCTCCCTGCGGAAAACAGCCCCTGGGGCGGGCATGAGACCGCTGTGAAGACCACACAGGGTTCAGGGTATCGGACTGCTGAGCAGTTAGTGCCACGTGACGCTTTTTAAATCTGCAGCTTTTAAAATCAACTTGAACCTTTTCTCGAGTCTATGGAAGTTTCCACAAATAATATCCTGTTTCCGAAAGTCACTCAAACGAAGGAATTAGCAAGAGAACAGTTAAATCATACCAACCAAGTAACAATGACATCATTTCTGACCTGGCAAATGGGCAGTTTTTTCTGTCCAAATAGTACTCCACCTGGCCAGCCTGGAAGACGGTGCTCTCAAATGCAGCAGGCTCAGGAGGACAGTCCCCCTGAACGGCATTTGGATGTAGGTGTATATTCTGTAGCTCTTACTCCACTCCTCTCGGTTTCGGCCCTGGCATCTCTCATCTCCCACTGTGGCTTCCACCCGGAAAGCAACTCCTTCCTGGATCTGACCTGCCTGCTGTCCCCAGCTGATGCCAACAGCCCCTGCAGCCCAGAGCCACCAAGGGGCCTGGGCCTCCTGCAACCCTCTGTACTAGGGAAGGGCGGGTCACGTGCCGTGAGAGCAGCGTCAGGCAGTCCAACCATGGCCGGTGACACCTTCCCAAAGTAAGGGAGTAAGGAACTCCCTCATGGCCTAGACTGCAGCTAGAGCCGAGAGCAACTGCCCAACCCTCCGTGGTCTTCACCTGGGCTGCTGGAATGGCAGACCGGCTCCCGTAATAGGGACAGGCCGCAGCCTCCTTCCCCAGCGTCACCAACTGCTCAATGTCCTTCACCTCCAGCAGGACCTCGTCCCGGAGGAGCTGCAGCTGCTTGTAGTTGTAGAAGGGGCAGGCTGCCCGGGGCTCCCGCCTCCTCCTCTTGGGCTCCTCGTCCTCAGCTCTGCTCTTGCTCTCTGTGGGTGGCACCAGTACAGGGACAAAGGCAGAAAGAACGGAAACTGTCCTGGGGCCAGGAGCAGGCCTACAAGGTCAAGTCTCCAACATCCTCCCTCGCCCTGAACTATTTATTCTGGTCTCATCATAACACTCTGGTATTTTACTCTGTGTTTGAAACCAGGGTTTCGAAATTAACACGATCCAGAAAGCAAAAACACCTTTTCCCAAGGAGAGGATCTTTAGGAAGAAACCATTGCCACTACGATACTGTCTGTATTTCCCGTGGCCCTGGTCCACGCCCCCTCCTGCCCCTCATTCCCAGGACTGCCCACGGCCGCAGGATGGCCCCAGAGGCGGCTCCTTTAGCTCAAGGGCGCAGTTGGCTACCGTGTCTGCGCCTCTGCAGCTCCACGCAGCGGTCATTGATCAGCTGCACAGAACCCAGGTTTTTCACATCTTCGTTTATACACAGATTCTGTAAGACAGAGGAGAAAGAGTTCTAGAAACGGGCTGGCTAAATGACACACAGCAGCCCACTGGGCCTCCCAGCCCCGCCTTCCTGTTTCCTTCGAAGGGTCAGAAGGCCAGAGAAGGGGCCATCTTCCCCCTGCTCGGCCTGCCTTGGGCCCATCGTCATTCTACACCTGGAAGAGGAAGACGAAGGCACAGGGAAGGGAGCAGATGGCACCTGGGCCGAGACGCCCAGCCTCCGTCTACCTGCCGAGAGCCGAGGGAGACGAGCCGGGTGTCCTTGCCGAAGGGGCTCTTCTGCACCTCGTGCACAAACTGGGCCAGCTGGGAGTGGGTCCGGCTGCAGTAATAAATCTGCTCCGAGGAAAAGCAGGGGATTTCAGAGACAAAAACATCCTCAAATATCCTCTGCACATCAAGAATGCCATGGCCGGACAGGCTGAGGGAATGGGCAGAGTGGCCACCAATACCCCAACCTACAGCAAGGTGACCCTGTCCCACAGATCTTAGCAAATACAGGGCCCAGGGCTTCCCCACCTCACCCTGAACTCCTGAAGTTCAAGAGAACGCCCACAAGACGGGGCTCCTCCCACCGCACATGCTCAGCCACTAATGCAAGTGGTCCCGTGCTCGGTCACCTTAGGAAGGGGTATTTCCCTGAGTGGTGACTCTTGATGAGGAAGGAATCCTAAGATTCTGGGAGTGTGTAAGGGGCTGTTCCACACACACCTCCCCAAGGACGGGGCTGGCAGTAAGGGGGAGGAGGCCGAGCCGAACACTCGCTCTCTGTACTCCGCCAAGATTTAGGAGAGAAAATGAAAAAAGGGGGCGGGGGGTGGATATCTCATTTCAACAGAGAAAGCAGAAGTCTTACGTGAATGAAACCAAATGATTTGAATTTATCGGCACCACAAATGCCCCACAGCTCCCAGACAAATGAAAATATGAACAAAAGAGGAGCATGCCATCAGACATCCAAGGGCAGAGGACTCTCCCTCTGACCCGCCCCGGCTTTCCCTAGCCCCTGGCACCGAGAAACCCAGGATCCTTGGCCCAGCATGGCTGTTCTTCAACGTCCTGGGGCGCATGAGCCCAGGCATCGCTCCCAGGAGAGGTCACCCCAGGTGCCCAGCCTGCCACGTGAGCACCTTGAGACCAAGGTCTGGATCTGGGAGACAGAGTCAGGGGGCTGGAGGCGCCTCATCTACAGGAGAGTGAGAAACAGCTGGAGGGACTCTCGCCTTCTCCCCAGGGATAGAGAGCCCTGGCCTCAAGACCAATCACAGCAGAAAGCTCAGGACGTGGCATCTTACCTTAGTTATATGTTCTTCCTCCAGGTCATCCTCATCCTCATCTAATCTGAGAGGCAGAAAGACAAAACACAGAAAAAGATTCTTCTCAGCGAACTCAAGTCAACTAGGAACACACTTACTGAGCATCTGCCACATGCCAGTGACCAGCCCTAGACCTACACCAACAGGAACGGAACTGAGGACTGAGCTCTGAGCCACGAGGGGACGGACCCAGTCCAGCAGCGAGGATCCACCAAAGCAGCAGGTGCTCGTTTGCTCTCGGTCAGACGCCCCAGGCTGACACCAATGCCATCCTCCTCTGCCACTCAGAAGAGGACAGAGGAAGGGCGTGGTATTCCCAAAGCCTAGCATCCATGTCTGTCATCAAAGGTTACTCTCCCCTCGCGGTGCAACCTCCAGCAACTGGACGTCTGTCAGCTCCAAGAGAAATTGTCACCTCGGAGGCTGGGACATGCTGTGCTCTTTGCCTGGAAAACTCTGCCTCCTCCTTCCCCCCTTTTACCTAGCCAATTCCCAGTCAACCTCAAGATCTCTGCATAAATGTCACCTCCTCCAGGCAGCCTTCCTCAATCTCCCCTGGCAGGCTCGGCTGCCCTGTGACACACTGCCACGGTCCCTGCACCTGTTCTTTGTGGTACTCATCTCATTCAAAACCGTTTCTTCTGTCTCGACCACGCGATCATGTCCACAGGCAGGACCTGGGTGTGTCGTTTCTGAGGAGCACCCCACCCCTCAGCCTGCACACAGCAGGAACTCCATGACATTTCCTGAGTGAACCGCAGCTGACTGACTGAGTGAATAAAAGATGCTGTCACTCACGACCACATGAATCTGTGCTCCCTTCGTGCCTCCATCTGCCCTTTCTGGAAGGAATGAGCCCATCAGCACTGGGGGCTGGTAAGTCAGCCCTGCACTACTTGGCTGGATGTTTAGACATTACTAATCTAAGCTCCTTAGAAAACACAAAATCCTTTTACAGATACATTCTACCTTGTATATAAGGTAAGGCCATCATACGGATTTTTTGTTCACGTAGCAATTCAATTTTTTTTTAACAAAGCAGAAATGCTCACTCATTGCCTTGTGCTATTAGAAAAGGAGTTGTTTGTAGGGTCGGCTTCCTGGTCAGTAAAGAACAGTTCAGTCAGCTTTGTCTGAAAGGTCGAGATTTAAATCACATGCCACATGGCTCAGTTGGTTGGGTGTCGTCTGGTGCACTGAAAGGTTGCAGACTCGATCCCTGGTCAGGGTACATGCCCAGGGCATACAGGAGGCTGCCAATCGATGTTTCTCTCTTTCATTGATGTTTCTCTGTCTCCCTCTCCCTTTCTCTCTCTCTCTCAAAAAAAAATTCAATAAAAATAAATCACATGGTAAACAAACAGCAGGATCTTGGTGCAAGGCTGGGTGTGTGAAGAAATGAAGAGTGAACATCTTGCACTCAGAATTGGTTGTGTTCTGAGAGGCTCATGTGCTCTCAAATGGGAGGACATCAGAAGTTGGACATGCCCATCTGTAGGATTAAGGCTCTGGGCTGGACCCTAAGGAGCCCTTCGTTTCTTTAACTTCAGAAACTCCACTCAAGCTCTTTACCTGGTTCCCAAGGGGCTCTAGAGGAGGCAGAAGAGTGGACAAGCAGGCTTGGAGGCAGATGGGAAAGGGTTCATGGAGCACTTGTTGCTTCTATCTCCCCACAAGTGGGATGCATAAAGCAGTCTGGACATCTCAGCCCTGGGCAGGGACAGACGTTTTAGTATGAATCCAGGTCCTGAAATCTGAGCTTAAAGGCAGGCCACTGAGTACCAACAAAGAAAAGCCCAGAACCAGATGATTTCACTGGAATTCTACCAAATATTTAAAGAAAAAATTCCAATCCTCCTCAAACTCTTCCAAAAAACTGAAGAGGGGGAAACACTCCCAGATTCATTTTATGAGACCAGCATCAGTATGATACCAAAGCCAGATAAGGACACTACAAGAAAGAAAACTACAGGCCAATTTTCCTGATAAACATAGATGCAAAAATTCTCAACAAAATATAAGCAAACCAAGTTCAGCAACACACTAAAAGGATCACACACCGTATTCAAGTGGGATTTATCCCTAGAATGCAAGGATGGTTCAACGTAAGCAAGTCAATAAATATGATACACCAAATTAATACAACAAAAGATAAATACTATATGATCTCAACAGATGCAGAAAAAGCATTTGACAAAATTCAACATCCTTTCATGATAAGAACTCTTGACAAACTGAGTATAGAAGAAATGTACCTCAACATAATAAATGCCACATATGACTAGTCCACAGTTGTAACATCATACTCAACAGTGAAAGGTTGAAAGCTTTTCCTCTAAGATCATAAAGAAGATAAAAATACCCACTCTCACCACTCCTATTCAACACAGTACTGGAAATCCTAGCCAGAGCAATCAGGTAAGAAGAAGAAATAAAAGACATCCAAATCAGGATGGAAGAAGTAAAACTATCTGTTTGTAAATGACATGATCCTATATATAGAAAACCCCAAGGACTCTAACAAAAATTTAGAACTAATCAATTCAGTAAAGTTGCGGAATACAAAATCAACATACAAAAATCGGTTGCACCTGGCCAGAGTGGCTCAGTTGGAGCATCATCCTGTACACCAAAAGGGTACAGGTTCAATTCCCAGTCAGGGCACATACCTGGGTTGCAAGTTCAACCCCCCAGTAGGGGCATGTATGGAAGACAACTAAACAATGTTTCTCTCTCTCTCCCCTTCCCTCTCTTGTTCCCTCCCTCCTTTTCCCTTCCTCTCTCTAAGCACGGTCTTGGGTGAGGATTAAAAAAAAAAAATCATTTGGCCCTGACTGGTTCTGCTCAGTGGTTAGAGCATCAACCCACAGACCAGAGAGTCCTGGGTTCAGTTCCCACTAAGGGCACATACTTCGGTTGCAGTTTGTCCCTGGCCCTGGTTGGAGTTGTGTGGGTGGCAACCACTTAATGTGTCTCTCTCACGTCAATGTTTCTCTCTCTCTTCCTCCTTCTCTCCCTCCTGCTCTATCTGAAGAAAAATGTCCTCGAGTGAGGATTAAAGAAAAAAATCAGTTGCATTTCTATACACTAACAAACTATCTGAAACAGAAATAAGGAGTCCTGGCCAGTTTGGCTCAGCAGTTAAAGTGTCGGCCCATGAACCAAAGAGTTGCAGGTTCAACTCCGGTTAGGGGCATGTGCCTCAGTTGCAGTTCGGTCCCCAGCCCTAGTTGGGGTTGTGCAGAAGGCAGCCAACTGATGTCTGTCTCTGTCTCCACCCCCCCACTCTATCTGAAAATGGATGCAAGGATATCCTCGGGTGAGAATTTTAAAAAGTAATAATAATAATACATAAATAAAATAATTCCATTTACAATAGCACCAAAAACAATAAAATACTTAGAAATAAATTTAACTAAGGAGGTGAAAGATCTCTACACTGAAAACTACAAAACATTGATGAAAAAACTGAAAAAGATACAAGTAAACAGAAAGATATCCTGTGTTTATAGATTGGAAGAATTAATTTTGCTAAAATGTCCATACTACTTAAAGCCATCTTCAATACAATACCTATCAAGTTTCCAGTGGCATTTTTTACAGAAATAGAAAAAAAAAACCCACCTAAAAATCGAATAGAACCAAGAGACTGCAAGTAGCCAAAGCAATCCTGAGAAGAACAACAAAGCTGGAAGCATCACACTTCTTGATTTCAAACTGTACTACAAAATCATAGTTATCAAAACAGTATAGTACTGGCATTAAAACAGACACACAGATGAAAAATAAATCCGTAATGTATAGTAAACTAATACTTGACACAGGAGTCAATGGGAAAAAATAGTCTCTTCAATAAATGGTGATGGGGCCCGGCCAGTGTTGCTCAGTGGTTGAGTGACGACCCATGCACCACGAGGTTGCCGGTTTGATTTCTGATCAGGGCACCTGCCCAGGTTGTGGGCCCGATCCCCAGTGGGGGGCACGCAGGAGGTGGCCAACTGATGTTCTTTCTCATCAATGTTTCTCTCTCTCTCTCTCCCTCTCCATTCATCTCTTTCTAAAATCAATAAAGAAAAAAATTTTTTTTAAATAAATGGTGGTGGGAAAACTGGATATTCACATGCAAAAGAACTGCCCTGGCTGATTTTGCTCAGTGGTTAGAGCATCGGCCTGCGGTCCAGAGAGACCCAGGTTCAGTTCCCACTAAAGGTGTGTGCCTCGGTTGCAGTTTGTCCCCGGTCCTGGTTGGTTGTGCGTGTGGTGGCCACTCGATGAGTCCCTTTCACATCGATGTTTCTCTCTCTCTCTCTCTCTCCCTCCCTCCCTCCCTCCTGCTCTATCTGAACAAAAAATGGAAAAATGTCCTCGACTGAGGATAAAAAAAAAAAAAAATGAAACTGGTCCCTTATCCTACACTACAATTAACTAGAAATGGATTAAAGTCTTAAGTGTAAGATCTGAATGTGTAAAACTCTAGAATAAAACATAGGGGAAAAGCTCCAACGTTAAATTCATCTTGGCAGTGATTTTTTGTACGTGACACCAAAAACACAAGCAACAAAAGCAAATATAAACAAGTGGCATTACTGAAAAGCTTCCTCACATTTCTGTTTTTCTAAATACATAAAGTGCTAATTTAAAAATAAATATTTCTGTAATCAAATTGCAATAAATACATACATACATACATAAAAATAAAACTTAAAAAAGTACAGCAAAAGAAACAACCAACAAAATGTAAAAGCAACCTCCAGAACTGGAGAAAATATTTGTAAACCATGTATCTGATAAGGGCTTAATATCAAAAACATATAAAGAACTCCTACAACTCAATAGCAAAAAAGACAAATAATCCAATTTAAAAATGGGCCAAGGGTCCCGCAGGTGTGACTAAGTTGGTTGAACGTAGCTCCATGGACCAAAAGGTCACTGGTTCGATTCCCAGTCAAGGCACATGCCCAGGTAGCGGGCTCAATCCCCAGTAGGGGCCATGCAGCAGGCAGCCTATCGATGATGTTTCTCTCTCTCTCCACCTCTACCTTTCTTTCTCTCTAGAATCAATTTAAAAAAATAAACACTAAAATAAAAATATTTTTTGCCCTGGCTGGTTTGGCTCAGCAGTTAGAGCGTCGGCCCTTGGACCAATGAGACCCGGGTTTGATTCCAACCAAGTGCATGTACCTCGGTTGTGGTTCGTACCCGGCCCTGGTCAGGGTCACACGGGAGGCAACCAGTCAATGTGTCTCTCTCGCATTGATGTCTCTCTCTCTCTCTCTTCCTACTTCCTAATCTATTTAAAGATACATGGAAAAATATCCTCAGGTGAGGATAAAAGATATATATGTTTTTTTTAATGGGCAAAGGACTTAAATAGACATTTTTCCAAAGAAGATATATGCAAATGGCCAACAGGTACATGAAAAGATGCTCAGCATCACGAGTCACTAGGGAAACACAAATCAAATCCACAATGATACCACCTCACAACTGTTTAGAAGGGCTATTACCAAGACAAGAAATAATAAGTGTTAGTAAGGCTGTGAAAAAAGGGGAACTCTTGTGCACTGTTGGTGGGAATATAAACTGGTGGAGCCACTATGGAAAACAGCATGGAGACTCCTCTAAAAAGTAAAAATAGAATTACCATGTGGTCCAGCTGGTGTGGCTCAGTGGTTGAGCGGTGACCCATGCACCAAGAGGTCGCCGGTTCAATTCCTGGTCAGGACACATGCCCAGGTTGTGGGCCTGATCCCCAGTGGGGGACAGGCAGGAGACAGCCAATCGATGTTTCTTTCTCTCTTTCTCTCTCTCTCCCCCTTTCTCTCTAAAATCAATAAAGGAAAAAAAATTTAAAAAAAAAAAGAACTATCATTATGATCCAGTAATACCACTTCTGGATACCTAATTGAAGGAAATAAAATCAGTATCTCAAAGAGATACGTGCACCCCCACGTTCACGCAGCATTATTTACAATAGCCGAGACGTGGAAACAACCTAAGTGTCTGTTGAGGGATGAATGGATAAAGGAAATGTGATAAACACACACAGGGGAACATTTATCAGCCACAGAATAAGAAGGAAATCCTGACATTTGCAACAATATAGAAGAAACTTGAGAGCGTTATGCTAAAGAAATAAGTCAGACAGAGAAAAGACAAAAGCTGTATGATTTCATTTGTGGCATCTAAAAAATCCAACTCATAGAAACAGAGTAGACTGGTGTTAGCTGGGGGGTGGGAGTGAAGGTGGTCAAGGGGTACAAACTTCCAGTTATAAGATGAAAAGTTCTGGGGGTCCAATGTACAATGTACAGTATGGTGACTATAGTTAATAATAGTGTATGATGTACTTAAAAGTTGCTAGAACAGATCTTAAAAGTTCTCACCATGCACACACACCCCTCTTACTTACGTGAGGTAAGATGTGTTAACTAGCTTTACGGTGATCATTTTGCAATACATACATATTACCAATCATCACACTGTGCTCCTAAATTTACATGTCATGTTAATTGTATTCCAATAAAGTAGGGTGAAAAGTCAGGGCGGTTGGGACGCAGGGTGTCTGTGGAGTGTGGACTTATCCTTCACGAGACTCAACGAAAGGTTTCGGGCCTTGGAGTTACTTCCAACAGACACAGTGACCACGGTGTTGATGACACATGGGGCACATGGGGCCTGTTGTTACCTTTAGAGGAGCAGGAAAGACCTCTTCCACGCTGGGGGCCTAACAGGGTTATCTGTAGAAACACTCACGCCTTAGAGAAGAGCCACTGAACCCCAAGGCCAGAATGACCTTTCTAATGAGCAAGTCCCTCCCTTGCTTAAAATCCCCCCTAGCCTCCCACGGCGCCGAGTAACAGCCAGCCCCTCTCCGCCAGCTCCTCGTCTCTGCCTCCTTCTCTGTCTCTTCCTCAACCACTCACTGCTCGGCGCATGGGCCTTCCCTCTGCTCCTCGAACACAGCAGCCCGTTCCGCTTCCAGACCACTGTACTCGCAGGTGTCTGACCAGGACTCTTCTCCCAGGTCTTCCCATGGCTCTCTCACCCCTCGGGCCTCGGCTCAAACACCACCTCCTCAGAGGGTCTGTCCTGACTTCTCCACCTGTGGGTGCAAGCCCACAGCCACTCCTGCACCCTGTTTTCCTGCCCTCATAGGTAGATGTGCCACTTGCAAGTAAGGGCTGTTTTCACCTGTACAGTAGTATTGACTGTCTCCCTCCCCTGAACACAGCTCTCTGAGGACAGGGGCCATGCCTGTCTCATTCCCTCGCTGTCCACAGCATCTGGAAATGTGCCACATGAATAACAAAGGAGGGTCACACGAGGGGCAGTGTGGTCCAGAATGAGCCGAGTTGCTGTGTTTCCTGGTTCCCGCTATGTTACAGCCCATAAATTAGAAACCTATAAACCTGGACCCTCAGGCGGCTTATCGTGAAAAGAACAGCAGCTACCTTGATGGTTTAGGTCACAAACCTTACCCAGCGTAGTTTAGTACTTAAGAACCTGAGATCTAGAGCTGGGCGGGCAGGTTCAAGTCTCAGCTCCCCGCTGCCCGGCCTTGTGGCCCTGGCCAAGGCACCACACCGTGCTGGGCCACAGCTTCCTCGGGTGTAAAGGGAGGACACAAATACCGTTGTGAGGGTAACGGAGTTAACCCGTGCAGCCGGTGCCCGGCAGAGAGGGCTGGCCATCACTGTCACTGTCACGCATGCGCCTGAAGGAGGAGCCTGGCCGAGAGGAAAGAGGCAGTGGCTGGCATTCCAACCCTTCAGATGCCCGAAGGGTGCCGAAGAACCTGCCTCTTTCTGGGCACGAGGAAGCAGCGGCCTCACATGCCCACGGCAGGGCAGTGCTGGGCGGAAGCGCCGTCTCACCCGTTAGTGGTTCCTTTCTCCTCCTCACTCTCGTACTCCGAGAGGACCAGCTCCTCCTCCCCGGATGCCAGCTGCTCCAGCGGCTCGGCCTCTGTTCCCGCTGCCAGTATGTCCCTGCTGAGGCGGAGGAGATGCTCGGTCTCTACTTCTTCCTGTCTCTGTACAGGAGCATTGCAGGCGGGGAGAGAGAACAAGCTCAGTACTGGTGCCCCCACCTCCCCCCCAGTCAGCCTCCGTATGGCTATCCCCAAGGACAACACACACGGGCCAGTAACGCGGGCTTTGCTGCTTTACTGGTACCAGTGCCCCAGGTACCAATACCTCGGCTCAAGCTCCCAACCACTGGGCGACAAGAACTTAGCCGGTGGGGCTCAGGGAGAGGAGCCGCAGGTCCTGGCACTCACCCAAAGCAGCCACACCTCGGGGCCCCAAGCGGCCGCTCCGGGAGAGGACACCCACCTCACGCTTGGCTGCGTACTTGAGCTGTGTATTGTGACGGAGCTGCCACAGGCGTTCTTCTCGCTTCTTCCTCCTGATCTGCTCCTTCTGCGGGGGAAAAAGCCGTAAAGGAGACTCCTGCAGGAAGCCCCAAACCAGGCCTCTTAGAGCTGCTCAGCCTAGTGCCTCTGCACACTCGGCCGTTCTCCCCTGGCCAGCACTCAGCACCAGACCCGGCTGCTCCCAGTCCCAGCCTCGGCTCACTGCAGGAAGGCTGTGACCCCTCCCAGAGCACATACTCTCAATCAAATGCATTCCTTAGTTGAGTTTGTAGCCACGAAACCATGTTGCCAATGGCAACAGTGAGGGGGGTCCCTTTCCCAGGTGGGACTGAATGGGAACCGCCAACCCCTGTCTAGAGAAGGCTGCGGACATCAGCTGCCGGGAGGGCTGAGAGGCACTGCAAAGGCGAAGAACACAGACGTCTGAACCTTGTAACCAACCCCAAATCATCACTGAAGTCCTGTCCCTGGGTCACTCCCACTTCCTGTTACCCCGATCCCACCTTTAGTCGGTCCACCAGGTCCCTTTCTTCTTTCTTCTGCACAAACTGAGTAACCCAGTCAGGTTCCCCAGCAGGCTTCAGGGTGTCTGGGGTCTCTTGACACGAGGATGAAATAAATGGGGGCTGGTCCTTCCCTTCATTTGAGGGGGCAGTTCCCGTTGCAAGGAGCCGTGCCTCCTCTTGCCGCTTCTTCTGCTCAAAGTCACGGAGCCAGGAAAGGGCCCCACAAATAAGACTTAAGGATTTTCCCTACAGGGGAAATAAACCTATTTTCAGAAATAGAGAACAAAAAAACAAAGCTTCCCAAATGACCTTTGCCATTTTTCTAAAGCTTCAAGGAACACCTGACTTTAACTATCAGAGAGTACTCTAAGACCAGCCTGAGGAAGGAAAGGAAGGGAATTAGCAAGAGAATAGCCAGGAAAAGTAGGACGAAAGAATAAAAAAACGAAGCCCTCTGCTTAATTATACAACTCACTGTTCCTAAAAGAATTTAAAGTAGCTTAAGGTTACACATAACTACTACAAGTTAACATAATTAGAAGTGAGAAATTATATAAATAGCCCCCAAAAGAATTAGGGCAAAAAAAAAAAAATGCAGAGCATGAAATCCCACCCATGAGGGGCGGCCACACCTGCCTCTACCTTTAAGGCAGCCAGTGTGCAGGCAGAACAAGATCAGCCCCTAGTCCTTGTTCAAAACTTTGCCAAAGCAAACCAATAGCTCTCAAGAACACAATTCTTGATTTAAAGACCGAAATTTTCCCGGTGTTATGGGTTGAATCGTGTCCCCCCCAAAATCCATATGTCAAAGTCCCAAACCCCGGTGTCTGAGAACATGGCCTCACTTGGAAGCAGGGTCACTGCAGATGTATTTAGTTGAGATGAGATGAGCCCTAATCCAGTATGACTGGCGTCCTCATAAAAGGGGGACATATGGACACAGAGGCACGCACAGAAGGCAACCTCAGGGCCAGGACAGCCACCTACAAGCCCAGGTGAAGGGCTTGAACACATCCTTCTCACAGCCTCAGAAAGAACCAACCCTGCCACATCGTGACTCCAGACTTCAGCCTCCAGACTGAGAGAACACGTTCCTGGTTAGGCTCCATGTCTGTGGGATGTTACAGCAGCAGCACAGACCAGCGCCCTAGACAGGCTGCTGCATGTTTCACAAAGCTGCTGCTTCTGGCATCCACAGGGCAGTTCACGGCAGGTGTGTCTCCGTAGGGGCCAATACCTTCAGGTCCAGGCCATCAGCTCCCCAAGCCTGCTTAACCCAGGGGTGATCTCGGAGTATCCAGAACGGGGTTCTGAACCTAATTTGGGCTTGAATGAACTGCAGGTGAAAACGCTTGTGCGTCCAGAGCTGGGGGAAACAGCAGAATGTAGTGGTTGAAGCTTCCGACGCCACAGCCAAAGACTGGCTCCTCCACTTATAACTCTGTGAACTCAGGCTAACCGCTCTAGGCTTATTTCCACAAACGCAAAACAGGAATAACAGCAAGTCCTTCCTTAGAGCTGCTGCAAGCATTCCGTTAACATACACAAAGGTTAATACCTACACCAAGATTAGAAGAACACCTGGTACATCAATGAACAACTGGAGCCTCTTTTTAATTTTGCTATTATTAAGTCATAATAAAATCATTATTAACTTGAGATGAGGATCTATTAGTGTTCATCAAATTCTCAGAAGGCCTTGTGACAGACTGACAGATACTTCTGAAGAACGGAGGGCTCATGTATCTTGACAAAAGCCCATCTGTTCCATTTGTCTGTTTCTGACAAATACTGAGTGGCAAAGACTTGCAGACAGCAGTCTCCAGGAAAACCCGGGGCAGCTGTTCTATGCCACCTGGGAACCGGAGCCGTCAGCTTCAACTGCCATCAAGCTGGGAGCAGGAAAGACGGCCCCCATAAGGATGGCCCGTCCCCCATAACAATGGCCCGGGGACAAATGCTGGTAAGAGAGCCAGCACCCTCCTCCTGAAAGCCAGCTGAGGAAGCTTCTGACGGGATGGTCAAAGTTATCTTCCAGAAACAATGATGGGTACGCGGGAAAACCAAGAAAAAAGATCATTGACGCCCTGTAGGTCTATATTCTGTGATGAGACCACAAAAATGTTAAGACTGGAACATTCTAAAAGGATGTATAACCAAATGGCCACCTTAGTTATGAAACTTAATAAAGTACCCACAGTACACCTAGCATTGTTCAGTGCTATTTCCTGGGGGTTTGGCTAACAGTTAAAATAATTTATGCAGAGACAAGTAAATTCATTCCTTCTAAACACCTACATCGTAGCAAACACTGGGCTTGATCCTGGGAACAAAGAGCTCGCTAGAAAGTACCCACAGGCACAGACTTAAACACGACGTGAAGGGCTTCTCAGATGCCTGCGGCACACGGACCCAGGTTCTAGGACTCCCAGGACTGCACTGCTTTACAAGGCACGGTGGGCACAAGGCGAGAGGTCAACTCAATGCGGCAGGCTCCTGAAAGGCTTAAAGAGGCGACTCTTAAAGGGAAAATAGGCATCACCTATTTTCTAAAGGGGGGAACGGGCAGCTGAGGACTAGCAGGTGAGGCACAGCCTGTACAGCATGGCACCCCTGCAGGCCACGGGGCACAAGGACAGGAGGGAGCTCTTAGGGGTGCGATGTGGAAAACCTCGAATGTGAAGGTCACTGAAGTACACAGATGAGGTCTCAGAACCGAGAGCAGCAACGTGAAGGGCTGCGTGGAGGAAGAGGATGCCCGGAATGGGCAGGGGGCTAAGGCGGAGAGAGCGGAGGGAGGAGGTGGGCCTCCAGGTTAAAGAGGGTGGAATGAGCACGTGCTCTTTCACATCCTCTTCTGAAACACACTATAATTACAGCAAAGAAATAAAAGAGGCTTACGCCCACAAAAACAAAGAAAGTGGAAGGGACAGTAACAAGCTTTCAGAGAGAAAGAGAGAAATAAAACTGACTTAGAGTGAAGGACACTGAGCCTAGGTGCCGACACAGGTCTCCCCAGATTCCCCCCAGAAAGGCCCAGAAACCAGCAGGACTAAGGTATGGCACTGAAAACAAAAGGATGGACTGAACTGCTTTTAAGGAATAATTAGATCCGCAAGTGGCATCCCCACTCCTCATAGAAGATGGGAAGTTTCTTCTCTGGTGACGCTGCGCAAGAGGGCCCTGGAGACGGCAGGCCGAGTGGAGCACGGGGAACGGGCTGGGCTGATGGTGGAGCATGAAGTGAGACTGTGTGCCCAATGCCGCTTCTCCAGGACACCCCCAAGAATACTGGCTGTCAGCCCAGCCCGTGTGGCTCAGTGGACTGAGCGTTGTCCCATGGACTGAGAGGTCCCGGTTTGATTCCCGGTCAGGGCACATGCTCGGGTTTCTGGCTCGATCCCCAGTGGGGGGCATGCAGGAAGCAGTCGATTGATGTTTCTCTCTTACAAAGAACTTTCTGGGGTCATGGAAATGTTTTGCATCTGGATCGTGGTGGTGGTGATATGGGTACTTACACCTGTCAAAACTCATTGAAATTGTACTCTTAAAAGGGGTACATTTTATACAGCGTGGGGCAAAAGTAGGTTTACAGTTATTTGTATGAAAAATAATATAGTAATTAATAAATAATAATAATACAAGAAGAAACTGTTTCACATACTTGCAAATGTAAACCTACTTTTGCCCACCCCTGTATGTCAACATCCTCAAAAAAGTTAATTTAAAAAAAATAGTAAGCAAAGGGAAATTGCAGGGCAATAGCTGTGAAGCAGGTCTAAGGAACAACTAATTGAGATTAGAACAGATGGAGGGAGGACTTCAAGGAAGACTCCAGGCTAAAATGGAATTGATTATTGCTATGGACTGAAATGTACCCCGCCCCCCAATTCATATGTTGAAGCCCTAACCCACTCATGACCATATTGGAGAAACAGCCTTTGAGGAGGTGAGTAAGGTTAAGTGGGGTCATAAAGGCAGAGCCCTGATCTGAGAACTGGTGGTATCTCTCTCGGCCACGTGCAGACACAGCAAGAAGGTAGCAGTCTGAGAGCCGGGAAGAGTCCTCACCAGGAACCAAACCCTGCTGCAACCTTCATCTTGGACATTCCGATCTCCAGAACTGCGAGAAAATAAATTTCTGTCATTTAGGCCACCCAGTCTATGGCCTTTTGTTGTGGCAGCTCTAGCAGACCAAGACAAGAGTTTTACGTATGGAACACAGGTATCCCACGCTTACTGAAAGTTCCCATTAGGCAAACTGAGGTCTTTTGTAAACAAAGCGGCAGAAAGCGAGCTTCTAAAAAGTGGAAGATACTCTTCACTTAGGAAAGTTTCACAGGGATGCTCTACAGCTGTCCCCCAGGATCCACGGGCAGTTACTTCCAAGACCCTCAAGGGTACAAATATCTGCAGCTGCTCACGACCCTGATATAAAATGACTTAGCGCCCAGGCCGTTTGGCTCAGCAGTTAGAGCGTTGGCCTGCAGATCAATAAGTCAAGGGTTCGATTCCAGTCAAGGGTACGTACCTAGGTTGTGGTTCAGTCCCCAGCCCTGGTCTGGGTCGTGTGGGAGGCAACCAGTCGATGTGTCTCTCTCACAACAATGTTTCTCTCTCAAATCAATGTTTCTCCCTCTCTCTCTCTCTGAAGATAAATGAAAAAATATCCTCAGGTGAGGATTAAAAAAAAAAAAAATGACTTAGCATTTGCACATGACCTATACACATCCTCCCGTATACTTAAATCATGTCTAGATTACTTATAATGCTTAATTTCATGCAAATGTTATATAAATAATTGCTATAACACATTTTTAGGGAATAATGACAAGAATAAAGTCTGTACGTGTTCAGCAACTGTCACTGGCCTAACTACATAGTACATGTCAGCAACAAGGTGGCTTTTTTCCCCTAATATTTTTTATCTGAAGTTGGTTGAATCCATGGTGCAGAACCCACATATAAAGGCCAACTGTACATGTGGATAGCATGGAGACCTGTATCATATTGGATGATGTGTGATGAACTGGCGTAAGTATATTAAAAACTAAACAAACTTTTAAAAGGTAATTATTACCTCTAGAAAAACAAAATTATTCATGGAAAAAATAATCACGGTATAATGACTTAGCAGAGACTAAAAACAGCTAACTACACCAGGAGAGGGAAGGAATAGAAACAGTAAGAAAGTTACACCTTATTCAACACAAGAGGAAGGTACCAATGACTAAAATCAATAAATCAAGAAGTGGCAGCAGATAGCTTAGCATTTCAAAATGTGCTGTGCAAGTATATTTCTTAAGAAACAGACAAAAGAATTGAAAGCACCTACCCAGAGAACTAAATTTGATAAATTTGACCTTTTTTTAATATCTTCGCCCAAGGATATGTTCTTTTGTATTATTATTATTATTATCAGTGATTTTAGAGAGAGGGGAAAGGAGAGGGAGAGAGAGAAACATCAATGTGAGAAACATCAGTCAGTTGCCTCCCACAAGCCCCCCAACCGTGGATCAACCCGGCAACCTGAGTATGTGCCCTGACTGGGAATGAAACCCACAACCCTTTGGTGCACAGCACAATGCTCCAACCAACTGAGCCACACCAGCCAGAACGATAAATTTGACTTTGTAAATAACATGCATTATACTTTGATGAAAATTTTTATATTGCTTTAAACAAAGGAGGAGGATATGCTCAACAATGTCAAACGTCAAAGAGTGGTCAGAATAAGGACTTGAGATACTCAGATCTATTAACCAGGAAGTCACTACTGATCCTAAAAAATATTTCAGTGAGATGGCAGGGGAAGAAGTCATATTGCACTGGGTTTAAATGGAAGGTAAAAATGCTAGTAGAATAATGTTTTTTAAAACAACAAACTCCTCTGCACATTATATTCATGCCCCACATTTTGTTAATGGGCAGGACTTACTCTCTCCCACTTACTATATATATGAAAGAACAAAAATGAAACAATACAATACCCCAGTCCGCACTCTTCATGTCCCAGGAGATGATGTCATCTCAAGAGAGCATGACATGCTTCCGTTAGCAAGTGAGAGGAAAGGAATGAGTCTCTTTCTTTCTTTCTTTCTTTCTTTCTTTCTTTCTTTCATTCATTCATTCATTCATTCATTCATTCATTCATTCATTCATATTAGGAGCCTCCTGTGGGCCAAATGGGCCAAGTTCTGCTAGATGATAAGGACAAAGAGGTGAGGACCACCAGGTCCTTATCTTCCAGGAGCTCACAGCCTAGCTGAGGGACCTTCAACACATACATTTCACTATCATAGCTCTTGCTATAAAAGATAATAAAATACAAGAGAGAAGTAGGAACTGATTACTACAGCCCTAGCAATCCTCAGTGGCCAACAACTAAAAAATTCCTCATTCAGCCCTGGCAGGTTTAGCTCAGCAGTTAGAGCCTCGGCCCGCAGACCAGAGAGACCCGGGTTCAGTTCCTGTTAAGGGCATGTACCTCGGTTGCAGTTTTTCCCCAGCCCCAGTTGAGGTCATGTGGGTGGCAACCACTTGATGTGTCTCTTTCACATCGATGTTTCTCGCTTTCTCCCTCCCGCTCTATCTGAAGATAAATGCAAAAAATGTCCTTGGGTAGGAATTTAAAAAAAAAATCTTCATTCCAAGCCAAGAATAAAAAATGCAGGGGTCCTTGACTGGATCCCTCCAGCAATCAGTAACCTAGTTCCTGGAGAGTAAACCAATATGTTTAATCTGTGACTAAGCCAAAGTAATTTCTATGTTGTCCAACATCAAAGCAGTGTGTGCCCAGAAAACTCTGGAAAGGTTCAGTGCTATGCTTCCACGGCCACTCAAATTCTTATTTGCTTTTAGCCTAACTTTCCGTAGAACCTGGGGATGTGTTTAACAATTTAACAGAGGGAAGTGAGCATTACTCAGAAAGATAAGCTGAGAGAACTACTTTGCCCAACTCCAAACCACAGAAACCTCTGCATGGGCAAATAAGCATGCTAGGCTGCTTCTGACTGGTTGTAATTGGGGTCCCCAGGAGCCCTCTTGGGCCTGACTATGCATACTTACAGTGCCAGTTGGACTCTCAAATATCCCAATCTTGCCAGCCTCCAAAACCTGGTATAGCTCTGCCATGAAGTCTTTCTGGATGGAATAGGGTGTGAAGGGAAAAGGGAAATGGATGCCACCAATCTCCTGGGTTTTATCAGCCATGGTCCTAGAGGGGGGAAAAAATCTGGTAGTTCTCTGAAGAGCCAGAAAAAACTGGCTTGAAATCTAGAACAGTTCCTAAGAGCAGTCTCAATACTAGTTACGGAATTTCTCCTCAGGTTGTACATTACTGTGCAAAAGCAGAGACCATGTTCTCTCCATCACCTGCATATCCCCAAGAAGCCATACCAAATCATGCAATTCATCAAGTGACATTTATCTCTAGCAGAATGCAGCCTACGAAAGCCCCTGTACAGAAACGCCCCGCAATTTCACCTGGGATGCTTTTGCTGCTTGGAAACCCTTCTAATGCCTCTAGGAAAGGCGTGCAGGTTTCCTCTGGAAGACCTGTGCCCTGGGATCAGAGATGCTGTCTGTAATCACTTCTGCAGCATTCTTCCCGCACCTCTCCACGGGGCAGCATCTCCATGACAAAGCTGCTTCACTTGAACCTGCTGGGAGACCTGAAAGTAAAATCATGACACACAAGCAGAGAAATACAGTGACAGCTTTTCTTCCATGGCACAGGTTAACGAATCTATCCCTATTTTACAGATACCTTCAGTTTGCTTTAGTTCAGCCTACACTCTGTTTCCAGCACAAACCAGGGATGCCTCCAAAAACATGTGTCGGCCTCCAGACTGGCAGAGTTCTCTACACAGGGACTAAGTCTGGCTGGAAGAACTCCAAATACATTTCTCTTCTCTTGCCAGGCCAACGTCTAAGAAAGACTTCCCTGCTCCCTTTAATGTCGGTTTTTTTCCTCCTCTTCTGAACTTGATTTCTTCTCTGAGACGGCTTCTGCATACCCTTCCTTCCTTTCATCACCGTTTGGAGGACTGACTCTTCCACCCAGGTTCCCGCTCTCTCTTTGGAAGTCACTGCTCCAAGCTCTTATTTAACAGGCCCATCTTTTATTTATTTTTTAATCCTCACCCGAGGATATTTTTCCATTTATCTTCAGAGAGTATGAGAGAGAGAGGGAGAGAGAGAGAAACATCGATGTGAGAGGGACACATCAACTGGCTGCCTCCCGCAAGACCCCAATAGGAGTGGGGGATCGAATCTGCAACCCAGGTTTGTGCCCTTGACTGGAATCAACCCGGTGATTCATTGGTCCATGAGCCACCAGCAGGCCCATCATTTATAAGTACAAATGTTAGTAATCCGAAAACTATTTACTTTTTTGTTATCTAACTAGCCTCAGTAAGACTAGCAACAGTGTCGATTCATTTGAGGGGAAAGGTGGTTGTCATAATGTTCTTCCAGTAAGTTTAGGGGCAGCTCAAATGACTACAGAGGTGGAGGGATAACTATAAAAAGAGTGACTTTAAAAAAAACGAAGACAACAGACTGACATTCGTCAGAAGAGGGCGGGGGGGGGAGATAAACCACAGAACTTATATGCATGTGTACATAACCAATAGACACCGACAACAAAGCTGGGGATGAGGCGGGTGTGGGGTGTGGAGGGGGGTGCCAATGGGGTAAAAAAGGAGAAACATCTGTAACAATAAAATAAATTTTAAAAAAAAGACAAGCCCCGGCTGGTTTGGCTCAGTGGTTATAGTGTCAGCCTGCAGACCAATGAGTCATGGGTTTGATTCTGGCCAAGGGCACGTACCTCAGTTGCTGTTCATCCCCAGCCCTGGTCGGGGTTGCGCGGGAGGCAACCAGTCAATGTGTCCCTCTCATGTGGACATTACTTTCTCTCCCCCTTCCACTCTATCTGAAGATAAATAAAAAATATCCTCGGGTGAGGATTTTAAAAAAAGACGAGGACAATTCAATACTGAGAGGGAGGCATGTAATCAAATAACTATTAAAACATGAAGGGGGCCCTGGCCAGATTGGCTCAGGAGTCAGAGCATGGGCCTGCAGACCAGAAAGTCCCGGGGTCGGTTCCCGCTAAGGGCATGTACCTCGGTTGCAGTTTGTCCCCGGCCCTGGTTGGAGTCATGTGGGTGGTAGCCACTCGATTTGTCTCTCTCGCGGTGGATGTTTCTCTCTCTATATATATATAAAATAAAAAATAAATTAAAAAAAACATGAAGGGGAAGAAGAAAGGCGTCTAACAAACTTAGAGCACCTATGTGTCAAGTGCTCTACAGGTCCTTTTACTTTTATTCTCTCATTAAATCTGAAGAAAAACAAACAAACAAACAAAAAAACCACTGTAAGGATACAGTTGTTGCATACAGAGACTTACAGAAATGAAATAACTGTTCAAAGTCTCAGCTAATTAGAGGAAAAACAGGGATCCAAACCCAGGTCCATTTGACTGTTTTAGTCAAATTTAACTGGCTGCAGGAGATAACCAGCAGACACGAAAGGGAGATTTGGTGAAAGGATACCTACTAAGAGATTAAAAATTGGGACCATATGGGAAAACCAAGAATAGACGCCATGGACAGGATGGGAGTTCTTGCAGACTAGATCTACAGAGTAGTGCGATCTCAAGGCAGCTCCCAGAACCTCACCAACAAGTAAATACCCCTGGATTTGCACTCTCCTGCTCATTCACATGCCAGATGGAAACACTGACTGACTTTTTCTGCTTACTCACAGCTTTTGCTCATTCAAAACTTCAGCCTGCACACAGTCTCTTCAGCCCTCTCTACCTTTCAGCTTCAGCTCTCACAGCCAAGTGAAAACTCTTTTCATGTTTCTTAGTTCCAAATCCCAGGAGAACAATCTGATCAGCATCTCCTGCACGTTTAACACAGATCGCTGGTCAACCTACAGAGAGGTGAAGCACCCAGCATGATCTAATCAGCTTGGGCTTTGCACTTTGCATTCCCCAGAGAATGAGTCCTCCATGACAGCTCAGTTCTTCAGAGAAGCCTCTCCCTGTATTTGTGGTCAAATACTCTCCCTCCAAATACATGCATGTGCACACACACATACTGCTCTACTTTAAGTCACTCTTTCATTTCATTACCCTGTATTTAATTTCTTCCTCTCTCTTAGCATTCAACATATTTTATTTAGTCTTCCCCACTAGAATATAAGCTGCATAAAAGGAACCTTGTCTATCTTGTTCTTCCCTACCTCTAGCACTCGGAAAGCCAGAGGCTTGGGCAACTACAAGCATTCAAAAAAAATCTGATGAACAAATAAATAGCCCACTTGACATGGGGCCATAGTGAGAGGTTTCTGTTCTTCAGAGGTGTGGGAGGAGGATGTCCCATGACTAGTCCAAGGGCCAGTTCTTTAATAGTCAAACTATTTTCATATATCTCACAACAACACTGTGTGGCCAGTATTTTTATCAGTTCTATTTTATAGATGAAGAAACTGACCCTCAGAAAGGTTAAATGACTCGCCCAGAGTCATTGAGCAATTGCCCGAATCCAGGATTTGCACACCCACCCACCAAACCTTCAAGCCCTGAGCTCTGTATTTCTCCCTCTTCCTTTCACCTGGGTAAGTAGGGTGAAGAGACTTGGTGACGAAACTTTAGAAAACAATACAGAAAAGAAGTGATTATTATTTCATTCCCTGTGGGTGGTAATTACGGATTTCATCATTCTAGAAGCTGCATAAGCTAAGACAGAAGTTAAAGAAGGGTTTGGATCAATCCATGAATAGTAGATACACTAAGTGAGCTATTAAGATGCTTGGTGTAGCTTTTTCTGACCTCTTCAGGTTGGTTGTGTGAAGGACAACCATGACCTACTTCCCCACACAAGAGCTTCTGGAATTCCCCACCAGTGCTAAGGCACACACCAGCACAGAAAACCTTATGCTCACTAAATGAGGTAAAATATGTGAAAGAACCTCAGGTACATAATAGTTCTGAAAATGTTCATTTTCTTCAGTCTTCAATTATTACTTGTTATTTACCTGGGTATGAACTACTGCTACAGACTGAACTGTGTCCCACACTCACCCAAATTCATGTGTTAACCCCCAACATGAGACCCTACAAGATAGAGACAGGGCTTTTAGGAGGTAATTAACAGGAAATGAAAAGGTAATGAGGATTAGATTCAGCCATAACAGGGGGGTCCCCTAATCCTTATTAGGACAGGTGGCCTTATAGGAGGAAGAGAGAGAGCTCTCTTTTTACCAGCCTTGTGAGGACCAGTAAGAAGGATGTCTTCCACAAGAGAGGAAGAGGGTCCTCAACAGGGACAGAATAGGCTGGGACCTTTATCTTGGACTTCCCAGCCTCTAGAACTTAAAAAAAAAAAAAAAAGCATTCCGTTGTTTAAGCCACACAATATACGGCATTTTGTTATGACAGCCAGAGAAGACAGAAACAACTATGTTCCAGGCACTATCCTGCTTTAAGCTCCTAAAATGCTTTAACTTCACACATCTGGCAGACAACACAGCCTCCAAAGAAAATGTTTTCTGCACCTGTTAACGCAGCACGCAGCAGAGCCGCAATGCTCCCTCGGCTGGGGACATGGCCCGGCCCACAACCTTGCTCTGGCCTGGTCTCCCTCCCAACTCCATCCTCTGAGCTCTCACGCTGTGTAGGAAAAAACTGCTACTTATTAGTATTTATTTCCACTTTTCATAGCACATCCTCCAATAATCTGGTCAACTCCATTCAACCGAATCCTCTTGACTGGATCCCACTCGACCCCGATTTTCTGAGGGGCAGGCAGCAGGGCAGAGATATTAGCAGCATGGACTCGGGTCAGATTTCCAAATTTAATACCGCTAATCCTCAGTTTCCTCGCGTGTAAGAGAGACAGATGAAAGCGCATACTCATAAGGTTGCAGTGACCACTCAGTAAGATAACTTATAAAAAGCAGTTAGCACCGATGGGCTAGTAAAGTTATTGAAGTTATGGTGCGTGTTAGTTATCATTACTCCAAAGCACCGCTCTAGTTTCGAATGCAGATCCCGCCCTCACCTCCATTCCCCCTGGCATTGGTGCGTCGCCTATCAGTTACACGCTAGCCCCGCCCCTCCAGATCCGGAAGGCTTTTCCCGCTCCCGACGCCCCCCACCCCTTTGCTAACAGCCTCCGGTTAGCGCTTACACCGGAGTTTGTTTTGCCTTTCCTCATTTCGTTTCTCCCCGTCCTAAACTTTGTTACCACGCGCCACTGTGCTCACCCTCTTCCCTGCAGGGCACCTTCGCTTCAGACCAGAGGGATGAGGAATCAGAGCGAATGTTGCTGAATTTAAATTCGCGGCTCAGTCCCCAGAGGAGCGTGCAGCGCTGCCACGCCCCCGCGCCACTGCGCGTGCTCACACGGGGCCTTGGGCGTTCTCTATTTTTTTTTTTTTGCACCATTGCGCTTGCGCGGATGGCACAGGGCCGGACTGCTTTCTGGCGGTAGGAACTTTGCGCATGACGGACCTCGGACCCTCATTACTGCCCACAGCCATTGGACTTAAGGCCGACCTCCTCTTCCTTGATGCTCAGTGTAAGATGTTTGATCCTCCGCCAATTAGCACCAGGTGTCCAGTTGCTTGACTTGATCAAATTGGCCAATATTTACCAAACA